AGACTATTCTTTGCTATTCAGTAAAGCAGACTCCTCCCCACCTTTAGGGTCTTGATTAACCATAAAGCCTAAAGCAATACCTTGCTTTCCACACATGCTGTCATTGAGACTTTTCTCTCTTTTACTTAACTTCCTCCATTTACCTCCCATCCCCCTGGTTAATCCCAATTAGAGAGCGCTTTGTGGGGTCCTGGCCTTACCTGTTAGCACACAGCCCTGACACACAATACTCACTCCCCGGATGTTTGTTGAGTGAGAAGGAATAAAGGAAGGAATATACATTTCTACGCAAACACGTCCACCAAATGCTCTGCTGGTCAGAGCTCCCGTGGTTGGGGGAACCCTCTCCCCACCTGTTGGATGCCTGGGTCTGAGAGTCCGTTTTAGGTTCTAATCGTTATGACAAACCCAAGGCAGTATTTTCTTACCCATTTAACTCCTCAACAGAAAATTCACATATTAAGGCACATCTGGTCATAAAACAGGACACCACTTTATCACTTGACCAGCTCTCCCCCGGCCAGTCCCTGCACCACTGTTGGCCACTGGCACACACAGAGCCTTTGCCCTCAGCAGTCCTCAGCCACTTAGTTTAGTTATTGCACTAACTTTTTTTTTTAGATAACATATGCCAATTTTACTTTTTAAAAAATATAATTTATATGCCATAAAATTCACCCATTTAAAGAAAGCTCATTATTTTTAGTATAGTCATACAACCATCACAATGAATTTTAGAACATTTTCACCACCTTAAGAAAAAGACCCATACCCACTAGCCATGACTCCCTGTTTTCCCTCAACCTCCCCTGCTCTAGGTATCTGCTACCTACTTTCTGTCTCTATAGATGTGACTATTCTGGACATGTCATATAAATGGAATCAGACACTGTAGTCCTTTGTGACTGGCTTCTTTCACTTAGCACAATGTTTTCAAGGTTTCCTCTATGTCAGTGGTTCTCAACTTTCCTAATGCCGCGACCCTTTAATACAGTTCCTCATGTTGTGGTGACCCCCAATTTCATTGTTACAAATTGAACATAATTAAAGCATAGTGATTAATCACAAAAACAATATGTAATTGTAGATGTGTTTTCCGATGGTCTTAGGCGACCCCTGTGAAAGGGTCGTTCGACCCCCAAAGGGGTCGCGACCCACAGGTTGAGAACCGCTGCTCTATGTTGTAACAGGTATCAGTACTTCATTTCTGTTTATTGCCAACTAGTATTCTGTTGCATGGATACCACACTTATTTATCCATTTATTGTTTGATGGACCTGTGAGTTGTTCCTACTTTTTGGCTGTTATGAATAACGCTGCTATGAACTGAAGAAGTTTTTGCATAGACATATGCTTTCGTTTTTCTTGGGCATATGCCTAGGAGTGGAATTGCTGCATCAGATGATAACTGCATGTTTAAGCTTTTGAGAAACTGCCAGACTGTTTTCCAATGAGGCTGCACCATTTTACATTCCCGTTAGCAGTGAATGAAGGTTCTGATTTCCCCACATTCTTGCCAACATTTGTTATCTGTCTTTTTTATTAGAGCTACCCTAGTGGGTATGAAGTAGTATCTCTTTCTGTGTTTGATGTTCGTTTCGCTGGTGACTCATGATGTTGAGCATCTTCTCATGTGCTTATTGGCCATTTTTATGTCTTCATTGGAGAAATGTCTATTCAGATCCTTTGCCCATTTTTAAATTGGGTTATGTGTCTTATGTTTTGAGTTGTGAGAGATCTTTGTGTATTCTGGATGCCAGACTTCTGTTAGATATGTGATTTGCAGTTTTTCTCCCGTCTGTGGGTTGTCTTTTTCACTCTCTTGACAGTGTCCATTAAAGCACAAGCATTTTAATGTTGAGAATGTCTAATTTATCTACTTTTCTTCTGATGTTTATTGTTTTAGTGGCATATCTAAGGAACCATTGCTTAACCCAGGGTCACAGAGATTTATGCCTATGTTTTCTTCTAAAACTTTTATAGTCTTAGCTCTTATATTTAGGTCTTTGATCCATTTTGAGTTAATTTTTGTTATATCATGTGAGGTCACATGCCATTTTTGAAAATAAATTAAAATGAGAAATAATCAGGACTTTAAAATATGCAGCTGTCTCTGATTTTAATTGAAAATCATGTCATGTTTCATTAAACATATCATTTAATGGAAAAAATTAATTCCTAACAAGGCTGATAGTCTCAGTAATTACTTTAAGAATTCTATAAGCTAAGAATTGTTAGAAAAGGCCTTTGACATTCTTGTTTCTTTTAAAAAATCAACTTCTTTCAGTAAAGATTTAAATAAATAAAGCCATATTTTAACATGCTATATAAATAATATTTTTAAAAATATTAAAAACATGTCTATTTTCCTCTTACAATGATATGGGCTTCAATTTAACACAATGGTTTTCAATCGGGAGTGATTCTGCTCCCCAGAGGACATCTGGTGGTATTTGGAGACATTTTTGTTTGTTACAATGTCGGGAGGAGGATGGTACTGTCATCTACTGGACAGAGATGCTGCTAAACAGTCTCCAGGGCATAGAACAGCCCCCAACACAAGGAATCACCCAGCCCCAAATAGCAATTGTGCCACGATTGAAAACCCCGCTTTAACTAAATCAGTGGCCCCTCTTAGATATATTTGAGAAGAGATGTGAGTTTGCAAACCCTTTTCCTCTCATTTACAACCTCATGGTTTTCTGCTATCACAATACTGACCTTTCAGAGGCCAGAATGTGTCCCGGAATCTTAACTGCCACCACAATCCTTTACAGACAAAAATCTATGAGGATCATTGGGAAAACACTTGTTTTTGTTGCTTAATTTATTTTGTACTTGTGTGTTTTCATTTTTGAATCTTAAGATATATTTGACAATTCTTTCCCTGTTCAACATGCATATGTGGGTACCAAGTCTCCTGCTAAAATGTATTTTATCTGATTATAGAACAATAGTTATAAGAAATAGTTGTGAGTGCTTGGCACTGGGCTAAGCACTGATCCTGCATTATCTAATTTAATTTCCTCAACAACCCTGAGTGACTAACATTCATGTATTACAGCCATAGACACTGAGGCACAATGAGATGCAACTGGCCCAGGACCATATGCGTCATCACTACTCCAAGTCAGGGCGTGAGCTTGAGGGGGTCCAGGCATGTCACAGAGCATTTGGTTACTCATTGTGGGTAGTCACAGAGAGACAGTTAGGTTGTTCTCTCCCTCAGTTAAGTCACAGTCAGTGCCCTGCCATGGGGGAGAAGGAATGGACCACACAGCTAGCTAGCCACAGGAGAGCCATCTCACCTTGGGCATGCCCGCAGATGTGTGGCTCACCTGTGACCATCACCCATCCCGCATATCACAGCGGACACTGTCTGAGGACTGCTGCTTAGGGAAAACTGGGATGTCTGTGACATCTCTTAGGTTCTTAATAGTCACCCTAATCTGTCAAGGCTCATTTTCTACCTACTGGCCATCTACTCACAACATGCTCCAACTCCCAAATGTCTCTTCTGACTTGTGGCTTAAATCCACTTGCATGTACACCAGCACCACGCCTCGAGCCCCCATACATGCCCAGCACTGAGCTAGACCTGCTCACCTTCAGTCTTCCAGAGTCGGGGCCACTCCGGTGCCCTGATCTCACAGGCACTGTTCTTACCGGAATAGCACTGTGGGGTTTAACAGCCGCGAAACATCTTGTAAAACATATAGGCTGCAGTTAAACAGTAGTATTTCCCTCCCAGGCTTTATCCCTCTGTGTGCACATAGCTGTCTCCACATACCTGATATCACTCCCCTCTCAGAGGGGTTTCGGGAAAGGAGCCTTGGTGTGGGTGAGTGACTGAAGATATGCATTTTGATGTACAAAGATCGGAGATGAAATGGCTGTCCGGTCAGGCCACGTTGGGGTGTGGCAGGAAGTGAGGTGCGATTCTGCTCACATCTGCCTTCCAGGTATCCTCCACCACCTCTTCGAGTGAAAGGGGGAGAGAGCAATGATTAGAACTGAAGATTGCCCCCCTCCCCCCCCCCCCAAATCTAAAGCAGACCTGTCCCTGAAACTCCTTGGGCAAATCTTTCCTTATTCTGAGCCTCAGTTTCCCCTTGAAGGATGGGTACATGCATCAGACAACCTAAGCATCTTTGCAAGTATAAAATTTAAAAAAAAAAAAACTTTGAATGCCTGAGGTATTGGGGGCTGCGTTAAAGGGAAGCCAAGCCCACACTACTTAGGAATCTGCTTTAATAGGAAGCCCACACCTGGAAGCCTGCCCACGTTGGAAGGAGACACGACAATGATTGGTTGATGCTATCTTTCTTCAGAGACCCATCTCCAGGGGCGACGTTCAAAATATTTAACAGCCAGCATTGCATGAGCACTGACTGTCAGAAAGGGAGAAGGAGCTGGTCGGGCCTTCTGGGGCTGCAGCCTGAAAGCTCACCTCCCCCACCTGGCCCGCCTCGCCTGCTGTGCCAACCTCTCCCACCTCACTGCCTGCTGAGCCTTTACCGATTGTTTTTTGGGGTCTGCCTCTTCCTGCCTGACTCTGCATCCAGGGCCCTAACTCACACCCCTTGGCCTTCTTCTCTCCCCGATTGCTTTATACACAACGGCTATAAATATCCTCCTGCATCCAAACACCAGCTTAATCAGGTTTGTCACTCAACAGATGCTCTCGGAGCCTCCCTCTGTGCTCAGCCCCATGTTGGCTGACGCCTCACCCTCTCGTCTTCAGAAAACATTAGAGGCTGAGAAACGCAAGGAGATCAAGAGACCTAGCCTAGCTCTGCACGCGCCTGTTGCATGACCTTAGACATGTCCCTGTCCCTACCAGGTGTCAGACTCCTTACACATAAATGAGTGACTTGAGCCCCACTGTTCAGGGATGAATTTCTGGAGAAATGCACGCCTTCAGCAGCTGACCGCTCTCTCTCTTTCTCTCTCTCTCTCTGTTCCTCTCTCTGTCGCCCGGGCTGCCACCTCCACTGTAGAACGCACTGCTGCCTGCAGGCCTGAGGCAGAAGGACCAGACCACCAAAGCGCCCACGGGCCCCTTTAAAAGGGAGGAGCTCTTGGATCACTTGGAAAAGCAAGCAAAGGAGTTTAAGGACCGAGAAGATCTGGTCCCCTACACAGGGGAAAAGCGAGGTACCGAAGCTTGTTGCTCTTATGAATATGTCCCTCTCCATGAATCGCTGATTGCCAGCTGTACACCAGGCCCTGTGTTGAGCCCATTGTGACTGGGCCTCCTTGCCGACATCCCTGCCTGGCCAAAAAACATAAACTCAACTCCAAAAGCATTGATGATATAGGTTTAGGGAAGTTTTCGGTTAAACCAGACCAGTATAACTCTCCCCCCCCCCCCCCCCCACTTAATCCCCTTCAACTGGGATGTCCTGCTTATCCTAATATATAAAAACCCAGGGTCTGTAATGAGTGGCCAAAGGCTTGACCGAACACTGGAAGTTAGTTGTCCAGTAAGTCCAGGGTTGTCGTGGCAACGCAGCACTGACTGCCACTGGTGCGGGCTTAGTGACTCAGCACTGACTACCAAGGGGGCTGCGGATCAGGCCCGGAGAGAGGCCTGAAGAGAGAGGCAGGGTCTGATCCACAGCCTCCGTGGCAGCTGTTGATCAGCCGTTGCCTCTCTCTTTCTCTCCGGGCTTCCCCAGCAGCCACACCTCTGTTTCTCTCCGGGCCTCTGTGGGGGCTGCTGATCAGCCCCACCTCTCTGATCAGGCCTGGAGATGTTGACTGGCACAGAAACCAACCAAATCTGGGTGAACTGTGAGGAGCCAATGGCTGCCTAGGAGGTGGAGCTTTTGATGCTGACTGGTATAGAAACCGACCAATCAGAACCAAATTGGCCGGCAGGGGAGGGCAATTGGGGGCGAGATCAGGCCAGCAGGGGAGAGCAGATAGGGGCAATTAGGCAGGCAGGCAGAGAAGTTAGGGGCAATCAGGCAGACAGGCAGGTGAGCGGTTAGTAGCCAGCGGTCCCAGATTGCGAGAGGGATGTCCAACTGTTGGTTTAGGATCGGGCCTAAACCGGCAGTTGGACATCTCCTAAGGGGTCCCCGATTAGAGAGGGTGCAGGCTGGGCTGAGGGAACACCCCCCTTCCATGCACGAATTTTGTGCACCGGGCCACTAGTTTTTTACACAAACCTAGACACTTTTGAAAATGATAGAATTAATTGCTAATCACGATATCAGCACATGAAACCTAAACAAGGTCCATTCTGTGCAAACTAAGAACAAGAGATACCCTATCTCCCCTAACCATCCCTGCTCTTTCCCAAAAGTTCCTCTCTCTGGCAATTGCATTACTCCTTCCTCCATCCGTTCCTCCGTGACGCTGCCCCAGCCTACGGCAAGCCTCCAGGAGTGTCTGAGGAACAGAGAGGCAGTCCTGACCACCCAGCCCTTCGAGGGCTTCCTGTTGTTCTCCAAACCATTCTACCGCCCTCTTCCCTCATGTTCGCCCTTGCTCAACTCACTGCTTCCCACAGGCCTGCTGAGCACCTCTCTACCTCACCACCTGTGCAGGCATTCCTCTTCCCTCTGCCTGGAATGTTGGCCCTGCTGGCTGCCTCTGTGCTGTCTTCCTGCCCTGTCAGAGGCATCATGGTTGGAATTAGCCCGGAGTAGGGTGCATTTGGTTATAATCCTGGCACTACCACTTCCTAGCTGTGTGAGCTTGTGTAAACTGTTAAACCTGCTGTGCCTTCATTTCTTGGTCTGTAAATGGGGTCGATGAAATAATATTACCAGTTATGAGGACTGAGGAAAGATATGTAGCGCCCAGCCCATAGTGAGTGTTATGCAAGTATTAGCTATGAGTACCCTTTCGGTCTCCACTGTCCTGATCCCTCTTTCAGGGAAGCCTTTCCTGTCTCCTGGGTTCAGGACGTGCAGTCCCTTCAGCTCCCCCTTGGTAATTCTCCACCTCGGGGGCCTGTGGGCCTCCTTCATAGCAATTCCCACGCTATCATTATCTCTGTATCATTTTTCTCTCTCACTGGCCTGTAAGCCCCATGAGGGCAGGGACTCTACCTGTTTTTGCTCACATGATACTCTCAGCACCCGGTGCAGGGCCTGGTGTACAGTAGGGCTCAGTAGAGAGTTGGTGAATGAATGAATGAGTTCAAATTAAATAAATGCATAATGCCTGGTGGCTCAGTTGGTTGGAGCGTCATTCTGTGCACTGAAAGGTTACAGGTTCGATCCCCAGTCAGGGTGTGTACGGGAGGCAACTGATGGATGTTTCTCTCTCTCTCTCTGAAATTAATAAAAACATATATTTTTAAAAAAGAATATAAGCCCCATGAGTACAAAGACCACATCTGTCTGGCTCATTGCAACCACATCTAACAAACCCTACACATAGTAGACACCCAATATATATTTCTTAAATTAATTGGTTAATTGCGTAATTAATTGTTTAGTCTCTTCCATTCTCCCCACCCCCAAGAATGTAAGTGAGATGAGCCCCGGGTCCAGCTCCGTGGCTATTAGCTCTGTATCCCTGTTGAATTGGCACAATACCCTGCGGAGTATCTGCTGGATGAATAGTAAAATGAAAAGGGCAGCAGGAGTCGACACGGTGGGGAGGACATTGAGCCATCCCAAACCCTGGCGTTGGAGCTCAGACCAAATTTTATTGAAAACTTGGAGGGTCAGGGAACCCCAGAAGGAGGACTGTGTGGCCTGGAAGGTGGCGGCAGGGCAAGGGGTGGGAATGACGGGGGCCTTGACCAGAAGGGCTAGGTGTGCCTGCTGAGAATGTGGCACGAGATGTTCTTAAGCAAGGCACTTGTGCCATGAGGGTGGTTTCAGCACAGCAGAGAAAGATAATAGAATCTCTGGATTTCATGGCCTTAGAATAGCGTCCCACCCACACATTTGAAAAACGAAACCGAGGCTGTGAGAGGGTCGGCAGCAGGCCTGGTGGACGGCTGGCGAGTCCTTGCCGGCATCCACTTGCTCAGGCACCCATCGCTCTCCCAGGGCAGGAGCTGCGGATGGGATGGTGTGGGGAAGGGAATCTGGGCGGCACACAACCAGTCCTGCCGCCCCAGAGGATGCCAGTCTGGCTGGAGCCTGGCACAGTGCTCTCGGCTCCCAGAGCCTGACTGCTTTCGTGAAAAACCAGGCGGACCCGAAGAGGGTCGCTGGAATTTATTCTATTGCCGCCTAATGACAAGCTTTAAAGGTTCATCATCATCACTGTCACCCCCACCATCAGTGTCATCTCCATAAAGTATTTCCTGGTGATTGTTGGAGTCCTTGTAGGCTGAATAAGTGGGGGTCTCAACAGAGTGTGGGGAAGACCTTCCATCTCCAACAGCCAGAGGCGGGGCCATTCAGTCCAGCCCTGGCTGAGCATTCGCCCACGCTGGGCCTAGAGCTAGCTAGGCTGAGGTGAAACATCACCCCAGCACGCAAGACCCAACAGAATGTGGTAGGAGCCTTACATGGGTGTGAGGTGGTATCAGTGCAAAACCCTGAGGAATGTGAACTTCAGTCACGCTGACTCAGGCAGGGGTCAGAATACAATATCCATGCAGAATATTTTCCTTAGAATTAGATTTGTTTGGCTATCTGTGCGAGGGGGAAAAGTAAAATAAGAGAGCTTAAGCAAGGTGGAGTTTAATTTTCTTTCACTTACAAGAGTTGCAGGGTTAGGCAGTCCAGAGCTAGTAAGGCATCTTGCCTAGTAGTAGGAATCAACACCCTTTCCAGTTTATTATTATTATTATTATTATTATTATTATTATTATTATTATTTTAATCCTCACCCAAGGATATTTTTCCATTGATTTTTAGAGAGAGTGGGAGAGGGAAAGACAGAGAGAAATATCAATGTGAGAGAAGGACATCGATTGGTTGCCTCCTGCACGAGCCCTGACCAGGGCCCAGGCCGGGGAGGAGCCTGCAACCGAAGTACGTGCCTTCACCGGAATAGAACTCGGGATCCTTTGGTCCGGAGGCTGACGCTCTATCCACTGAGCCAAACCAGCTAGGGCCACCCTTACCACTTTTTTAATCTTTCATCCCTGCAATATGTTTTTGTCCTCATGGCCCTTCTGGTTGCTTGAAGCTCCAGTCATCACACCCACATGCAATTAGTAAGATGAAGGAAGGGAAGGAGACGGAATCCTTCTTGTACCTCTGGGAGGCACCTGCTGTAGGAGCTAGGAAACCATAGGTCTTAACTATTTATTGAGTTTCATCCTAGCACTGTATCCATCATTTTCACAGTTGATTTCCATTTTAGCTCCTTTGTCTCCTTTGTATGTTTGGCCCTTTTCCAGATCCAACTCTGGATACACCCCTCCCAGCCCCCCCAGATGATTTTGTTGTGTATTGGCCATTGCTGTAAACAATTTAAACAATGAAAGTAACTCAAAGTAATTTCCTCCACTGAGAGATAGATACTGATCCCATTTTAGTGAATATTCTTCTGGACATTTCTCTTTGCACTTTCTACCCCTTCCCACCTCTGCCATTACCACCCTGGTCCAAGTCACCCTCATCTCTCACCTGGATTATGGCAGGAGCCTCCTAACTGTCTCCCGGCTTCCATCCTCACCTGCTTCAGGCTATTCTCAGTCAGTCGTGAAAGTGAGCAGGGTTTTTTAAATTGAGGTAATAGTCACATAACATAAAATTGACCATTTTAAAGTGACTGATTCAGTGGCATTTAGTACATTCGTAATGTTGTGCAACCACCATCTCTGTAGATCGAAAACACTTTCCTCACTCCAAAATAAAACCCAGTACCACATCGGCAGTTACTCCCTTTCTCCCCCGCCCCCCCCCCCCAGCCCCCGGTGACCACCAGTCTGTTTCTATGGATTTATCTATTCTGGATATTTCCCATAAATTAAATCACATAATGTGTGACTTTGTGTGTCTGGCTTCTTTCGCTTAGCGTCTTGTTTTCGAGAGTCATTCATTCCCTTTTATGACTGAATAATATTCTGTAGTTTGTTTAACCGTCCATCCAGTGATGAACTTTTTGGTTTCCACTTTTTGGCTACTGTGATTAGTGCTGTTATGAACATTTGTGTACAGGTGTTTGTTTGTCTGTTTTTTTCATTGGATCATATGGGGGGGGGAAAAGTTTTTTGAAGAACTAGAAAACTTTTCCAAAGCAACTTCACCATTTTACATTCCCACCAGCAATATACAAGGGTTCCACTTTCTCCACATCCTTGCCAACCCTTGTTATTTTGGTTTTTGGTTTTTACTGTAGCCACCCTCATGGGTGTGAAGTGGTATCATTGCAATTTCGGCTTGCATTTCCCTAATGACTAAGGATGTTGAGCATCTTTTCACATGTTGTTGGTCATATGTATATACTCTTTGGAGAAATGTCTAAAAATCCTTCGCCCATTTTAAAATTGGGTTTTGTTGTTCTTGTTGAGTTGTTAAAGTTCTTTAATATAGTCTGCATATTAGACCCTATCAAATATGTGACTGTGAATATTTTCTCCCATTGTGAATGTTGTCTTTTCACTTTTTTTTTTAAAGTATATTTTATTGATTTTTTACAGAGAGGAAGGGAGAGAGATAGAGAGTTAGAAACATCGATGAGAGAGAAACATCGATCAGCTGCCTTTTGCACATCTCCCACTGGGGATATGCCTGCAACCAAGGTACATGCCCCTGACCGGAATTGAACCGGGGACCTTTCGGTCCGCAGGCCGACACTCTATCCACTGAGCCAAACCGGTTTCGGCATCTTTTCACTTTTTGATAATATCCTTTAATGCACAAAAGTTTTAAAGTTTTTAGTTTTGTTGATTTTTAGAGAGAGAAGAAGGGAGAAGAAGAATAGAGAAATAGAAACATCAATGAGAGAGAAACATCATTGATCAGCTGCCTCCTACATGCCCCCTACTGGGAACTGAGCCTGCAATCCAGGCATATGCCTGACTGGGAATCGAATCAGTGACCTCTCGGTTCCTGTGTTGATGCTCAACCGCTGAGTCTCACCAACCGGGCAAAGTTTTAAATTTTTATGAAGTCCAATGGACCTATGTTTTTATGTCTAAGAATACATTGTCATGTCTAAGAATACATTGTCAAATCTAAGGTCATGAAGATTTACGTCTGTTTTCTTTTAAGAGTTTTGTAGTTTTAGCCATTATGTTGAAGTCACTGATTTACTTCCATTTATTTGTATAGATGCTATGAGATAGGGGTCCAGTTTCACTCTTTTGCATGTGGATCTCCAGTTGTCCCAGCACAACTTCTTTTTTAAAAAAGTATTTTTTTATTGACTTCAGAGAGGAAGGGAGAGAGAGATAGAAACATCAATAATGAGAGAGAATCATTGATTGGCTGCCTTCTGCACGCCCCTCACTGGGGATTGAGTCCACAACCCAGGCACGTGCCCTGACCAGGAATAGAACCATGATCTCCTGGATCATAGGTCGACGCTCAGCCACTGAGCCACCAGAAGGGCCATCACAACTTCTTGAAGAAACTATTCCCTTTTTCACTGAATGGACTTGGCACCCTAAAATAAATTTGCCATAGATCTATGTATGGGTTTATTTCTGGACTCTTAGTTCTATCCATTGTTTCTATATTCATCCTCATGTCAATGCCACCTTTCTTTATGTTGTAGTAGGTTTTTAAATCAGGACATCTAAGTCCTCCGACTTCATTCTTTATTGAGATTGTTTTGGCTATTTGGTGCCTCTAGCAATTTTATATAAATTTGAGGATTGGCGTTTTCATTTCTGAAAGAAGAAAAAAAAGAAGCCATTGGAATTTTGATAAAATTTCATTATATCTGTAGATTATTTGGACATTATTGTCATTTTAATATGGTCTTCCAGTCCATGAACTCGGGATTCTTTTTATTCATTTTTTCTTTTAATTCCTTTCAGCAATGATTTGTAGTGTTCCATGCACAAGTGTTTCACCTCCTTGGTTAAATTTATTTCTCACTATTTTTTCCCCCTTTGGATGCTATTATAGATGAAACTAGAGGCTCAGTGCATGAAATTTGTGCCCTGGAGGGGGGGTTCCCTCAGCCTGGCCTGTACCCTGACCACCTTCCTGAAGGAGCAGTGCCCCCTCACTCACACCCAGCCTAGAACTTACTAGTCATTTCCTCTGCTTTATATTTCCCTATAATATCCTCTAATAGCTTTACATGCTTCTTTATTACCTATCTCCTTTCACTAAATTGTAAATTGTTCATTGCTAGTCCTCTAGCCCCTAGAAAGATGCCTAGCACATAGGAAACAATCAGTAACTATCTATTGCATATATATATATATATATATATATATATATATATATATATATATGTAATTTTTCATGCATGGAATTATTCATGCTATTTTTGTAAACTGGCTTTTGCCACCTTTTGTCTTAGCATTTTCCTTCTTAGTAAGTGGAGAGCCCCATCATCCTTTGTAAGAACTGCTGGGACTCCATCGCATGGATGCCCCAGAATTTCTCCAGCGGTCCCTCTGGGTGGACACTGCAGTGACCATCCTTGTGCACCTCTTTGCTCCTCATTCAGTTCTGAGTCTGGCACTTTAAAAATATCACGTCCCATGAGGCAAGGAGACATTTCTTGCTCCCTAGTCCTCTTTTAATAATCTGGGTGTATTTTATTTTGTTTAGAAATGTTTCTAAACTTTTCTCTCCTATCAGAACCCTTAGTTAGGATATCCCAGATACTAACATTCGACTTTTTTAAAAATCTTTTTTCTACTTACAGGTCATTTAAATTAATGACCCATGTTTTCAATAGCAAACAGTCTAGTTTGACCAAGCTATAAAGGTGTATTTTTCAAAATGAAAGGTTCTTTGTGGGAGATCTTCCATTCCTGTTCTTGAGGAAGTTTGCACTGGTCCCCAGAGGGGGAAACCTCAAGGGACTCTCAGCATGAAGGGATCACAGCGCTCGGGGAGGGCCCCCCGGGCTGTTGCTGGAGGCTGCCAGGTGCCGCCGCACTTGCCCTCCCTGTAACGGACACTCATGTGTTTGCAGGAAAGGTCTGGGTCCCCAAGCAGAAGCCGATGGATCCCGTGCTGGAAAGTGTGACACTGGAGCCAGAGCTGGAGGAGGCCTTGGCGAACGCCTCTGACGCGGAGCTCTGTGACATCGCAGGTGAGAGGCGCTCCACACCCTCCCATGTCCTCCAGAAGGACTTGACCTGCGTCTGCAGGGAGCCGTGGATGCTTTATTTCAACGTGAACAGCCTCTCTCTCTAACAAGGACTAGAGGAGACCAAGAATATTAAAACTGAGGTCCATCATCAAAAACCAAAATGAGGAAAATAGAGAGAGAACCACCTAAACTCATTACACTCTGGAACCATCTGCTGTTGCCGTGAGACCCCATCCCAGAGGGATGTGGACGCATCCTGGGGGGCGGGCGGTTGCATGGGCCCTAATCCCATCTGCATCAAATCCTGCCCATGCCACCTGGGAAGAGAGAATGGGGGGCAGACAGAGGACTGTGGGCGTCTCAAGCTTGGGCGGTTCACAAGGGCTGGAGCAAAGCCATCTGATTTTACCACTTTGCACCCTCAGAAAACCCCCATCTCGTATTTGCACAACACTCTCCCTCTTCCTGTATATTTCCACATGATCTTCCCAAATAGCCCCTAAAACTCCAGCAGGTGGCCTGATCTCAGAGCCTTTCACCACCCCAGCATCTCTGCTTACTCCGGTCTAGTCTCTGCCCGCAAGCCCACCAAGAGTCAGATCTGGCCACACCAAACAGTCCGCATGCATGTGTGTCCCCGCCCCCCGGCCCCTCACTCCCTGGCATTGTGCTGTGCTCCCTGGCCGGGGGATGGGTGGTCTTTTGATTCTGCAGACTTGGGGGCTATTAACCATCACCCAGATGATGACAGGAGGTTGGGTGAGGCGGGGAGAGACTCAGACAAGTGGGAAGGGAAGAGGAAAGATGGGGTTGAGTCTGCCTGGCTGAGGTTGAGGAGGAGTCAAGGAAGGTTCCAGATTGCCAGTTCCAGAGACTAAGTAGCTGTTGGTGCCATTAATGAGCATAGGTATAGCAGTCTGCTTGAGCTGCCATAACAAAATGCCCCAGGCTGGGTGGCTTCAACGACAGAAATTTATTGTCTCATGGTCTGGGAGTCAGAAGCTCAAGGTGGCGGCAGGTTTGATTTCTTCTGAGCCCTCTCTCATTGGCTTGCCAGTAGCCACCTCTCACTGTGTCCCTCTAGGCCAGCGGTTCTCAACCTGTGGGTCGCGACCCCTTTGGCGGTCGAACGACCCTTTCACAGGGGTCGCCTAAGACCATCCTGCATATTAGATATTTACATTACGATTCATAACAGTAGCAACATTACAGTTATGAAGTAGCAACGAAAATAATTTTATGGTTGGGGGGGTCACAACATGAGGAACTGTATTTAAAGGGCCAGAAGGTTGAGAACCACTGCTCTATGCTGTGTCCCCTGGTGTGGGGTGTCTCCTAATCTTTTCTTCTGAAGACACCAGTCGGATTAGATTGGGGCCCACCCTAAAAGCCTCATTGTAACTTAATCACCTTCTTAAAGACCTTATCTCCAAATACAGTTATAAATTCTAAGGTCCTGGGGATCAGGACGTGAACCTTGCGGTTTTGGAGGGACACAATTCAGCCCATGCCAGTGGGAGAGGACACAGCTCAGGGGAAATGCTGAGTTCAGTTTGAGACCTTTGGAGTTCAAAGTGCCTGAGGGCCACCCAGGCGGGAACAGTTGTCCATGAAAGTCTTGAATTCTGCAAGGGATCCACCTGCAGCCCTTGTGGCAGCATTAGCATAGACATGTGGGCATCATTAGCATTGTCAAGCTCCAGGCAGAGGGCTTGACAGGAGTGGGGCCTGGGGCTCTGCAGGCAAGTGTCCTGTCTTGGGTAGAAGCCTGTGAGAGGTGAGGGCCAGTTAGCCACAAATGGGCTGGGAGCTGAAGGTCAAATCACAGTGGACAGACCTAATGCAAGAGCTAGGGAGACAGAAGGAGGGTTGGGGCTGGCCTGAGACACAGAGGTATGTGAGGCCAGAGGCCAGGTGAGGCCACCAGTGCTGGGGGACTTGGTCTCCTGCCTCATCACATCCTCTGGCTTCTGGTGGGAGCGGTGCACAGGTGCTGGTGGCATTTGTTGCAGGGGATGGGAGTGGGAAAGGGGGCGGCTGTCATCTACAGTGGAACCATGTGGGGCGGGACAGTGGGAAGACTCCAGCATGCAGGAGGGGTGACCTTGGGTGCTGGTGGCCAAAGCCAGGTTGCAGGGACCAAGTGGCGAATGCAGAAAGCCGGTGTGTAGACTGTGAGTCCAAAACACCCTTTCCTCAGCAGGCAGGGAATTTGGGAAAGACCAAAGGGCAGTGGCTTGAAGGGTGTCAGGGCCGAGAGAGAGAGAGAGAGAGAGAGAGAGAGGTTTCCAGTCCACTGTGAAATACAGAAGCAGTGAGCACCCATCCGGCCCTGATGGAAACGGAACACTTAACTCAGAAAACGTAACTGGTTTGGTTTGAAGTTCAGGTTTGGTTTTGTCAAAACCACACCAGTCATATTAGATCCACATCGTGCTCACATATTTCGACCGAACCGTTTCCCTGGTGGGGGGGGGTCCCCTTGACTCCCAGTTCATCTGTGCAGCAGGGAGGTGGGTGGCTGACACCCTTGTGCAGCACCTCCACGCTGACTCACCCTGGAGCTGTTTTTATCCTGGTCCTTCTCCCCCGATCACCCTCCGTGACATCACCCTCCTCATTAGTCAGCTCAGAGGGATTATCAAATGACTCCAGGGTCAGAACCGCCAGCTTCTGTGCCAAAATAGAACTGCAATATTGGGCTGAGTTTCTGTGTTGATTTCTTGAAACTATGTGTCTTTACTTTTGTTGGTGTGGCTCATCATTATTATTATCTGTTCATGATACCATACCTTCCCATGTCCGGAAAGGAGAGGGGGAGCTGTAAGTCAGTGCGAGTGTTCACTAGCTCAGTGTGGGTGCCTATCATTGTGTATCAGCCATTTGAAGGTGACAGTGTCTCTGGGGAAGGAGGGGCTGAACATTTGCTGACCTCCAACTCTGTCCCAGGTGCGCTGGGAATTGCTTCCAATGCCTTGCTGCTTATTTATTGATTACAACACCCCTGTGAAGTAAGACTCATGTCCCCATTTTACAGATGGAGAAAGTAGGCACCGTGAGGTTAAATGCCTTGCCTGTGGGCTTGGAACCCAGGCGGCTTGGTGCGATGGCCCACTTGCATCATCACCAACTGGTGCAGCCTGGATAAAGCCCTCAGGGTTGGGGGGCATGGTGGACACAGACGGTGGGTGAGAGGGGGTGCCAAGTCTCCCAGAGTGGCTGGGGAAGGATGGGGCCACAGTAAGAATGGCTCTATTTGTTTGTTTGTTTGTTTGTTTAATCCTCACCCAAGGATATTTTTCCATTGATTTTTAGAGAGTGGAAGAGACAGGGAAAGAAAGAGAGAAATATCGATGTGAGAGATATTGGTTGCCTTCTGCAAGAGCCCGACCAGGGCCCAGGCCGGGGAGGAGCCTGCAACCAAGGCACATGCCCTTGACCAGAATCGAACTTTGGACCTTTTGGTCCGCAGGCCAAAACTCTATCCACTGAGCCAAACTGGCCAGGGCAGGAAAGGCTCTGGATGCCACATTAGGGCGCTGACACCTGGGACTAGGGGAGTGTTGGAGAGGCGGATGGAAGCAGGGGCGTAGGCAGAGGCAGCAGTGTTTAGAGGATGGCGGGGGGGGGGGGGGGGGTCATAGAAGGCAGGCCCCAGGTAAGGCCTCAGGTAAGGCCCCAGGTAAGGCCAATGGCCACGTGGAGCCATGGGACTGCATAAGAGGTGGCTCCACCGAGAGACCAGCTATTCCTAGTGCTGGACCAGAGGCCAGAATTTCAAAGATGCGGCAAGAGATGGAGGCAGGGGGGCAGGACTTCTTGTCTGAGTGCTGGGTGTGGCTGACCCACCGGAGGCAGGGCTGGGAGGGTAGGGGGTGGCTGGACCTTCCCAAGGAGGAAGTGCATGGAGCTGTGAGGTGGATGAGTCACTAGAGATAGAAAAGTAGGGAAAGGAGAGCATCACCTGGAGCCTTCACACCCCAGTTCCCAGGCAGGGCACTCCCATAGGCTCACCTCCGCCAGTCACACATCCACACACTCCGCAGCCATGTGTCTGGCCTCCCTTCTGTGTGGCAGGCTCTGACCCGGCCCTGGTAAAAGAAAGCAGCCTGGCACCTGCCCTCGCAGAGCCGCCTATGCTAACACCAAGGCCAGTGGGAAGTGGCAAGTGAGAGTGAGTGTCATAAAGGAAAAGGACAGGGTGCAGGAGGGGGGCTGGGCTGGGGCTGGGGAGCTAAGGCCAGAGACAAGCTGATCCTGAGGAGGAAGGGTAGGTGAACAGGGGAGCGGGGGCGGAGGCGGCCCTGCTGAGCCGCTTGCTTTGCAGATGCACTTGCACAGGCTTGGCACTTGGTGATGATGGGAACAGGCGGGACCCCCAGCAGGCGGCACATTGACTCAGGTGTGACACGGGTGAGGCAGGGCCTGTGAACTCTCATGTATTCACTTTGTTTTCATGTTTGTGTGTCATTCATTCACTCATGGAGTCACGTGCATTATTGAGCTCCTACCGTATGAATGAATCAGATCCAGAACCGGCCCTTGGCGGGCCCAGGACGTGATGAGGACAGAGCAGAAGCATGTCAATTTCAACATGAAAAGCATCGCCACAGGGTGGGGAATAGATGCCTCTGACAGGACTGAATTCTTGGCGTGTGGCCTTGGGCTGTGGCTTGCGGGGGGGCACTGGGAGTCACCTGCAAGCACTTGGCATTATCAGTGCCTCCCCTCCTCAGTTAGGGATGCGATCCTGGCTTGCCTTTAGGGACCCTTCAGATGGGACGGACCCAGAAGGAATTGTGGGTAGGGAGACTCGCCCTTCAGAAGGGCCAACCCCAGGCAACCCCAAGGGCAGTTGGCACCCCCTGCCTCCTGTGACTCTCAGAGGCAGTCTTGGGCAGAGCCCCTGCCCCAGCGTCTGGTGCTCTTTCATGCCCGTAGGCTCCTGCTCTAGGAGAGGCAGGGTGCGGGCATGCAGCTGCGCCCGGTCCTGGGCCGGAGCCAGCTTCTCCCACCTGTTCCTAGGGTGCCTGCGTCTGCCCTGCACCAGCCTGAGCCGTGGGCCGCTGGCGAGGCCGGGGATGTGTGCCGCTATCTCTCTGCACCCTTAGCGGAATGACGATTATGAACTGAGTGAACCCTGCCAAGGCAGAGAGAGGAAGGAGAACTTGATGTTCTTTTTCAGAGTTCAAAAATAGTCCTTTTTGAGTTTTGAGGAAGATTTGACTTATTTTAAAAAACCACATTCCCCAGTGCTAAATCCAGCCTTGCCAATATCTACCAGGAACGAAGCAGCAGGCGATGTTGATGTGCTGTTTTCCTTCATCACTCACACCTCCCTCCCTCTCCTTCTTTTCCCCTCCCTCCCACTCCTTCCCTCTCCTCTCCCTCCCTTCTTTTTTCTCTCCCTCCTTTCCTTCCTCCCTCCTCCCCTCCCTGCCTCTTTCCTTCCTTCCTTTTTTTTTTTTTTTCTCTCTTGGATCCCTACTTTCCTCAGAGCTGCAGAACGGTTTTATTTCTTCTTGGGCCTGCTATTGACATTTATCACTTCCTAGAATACAGGTTATCTGTTTTTAGAATTTTTTAGAAGTAGAGGGGAAGTTTAGGACTTTAGAGGTGCTGGTGACCTGGCGCATGGAGGCGTGTGTGGGAATGGATGCTGACTTAGAAGCCGAGAGTCCTCGCCAAATGGTCTTTGACAAGTCACTTCCTCTCGAGCCTGCTGGAAAGTGGAGGGTCCGCAGCACCTGCCCTGGAGGCTTGTGAAAAATCAAACAGGATAAAGTGATGAGATGTGATGTGGCTGTGAAGTTGCTATGTGAGGGTAAGAGACCAGCTTTCAGACACACCCCATTTTACAGGAGAGAAAACTGAGGCCCAAAAAGCAGAAGTGACAGGGCCACCCAGCCAATTAGTACCACGGCCAGACGAGCGCAGGTCTCCTTCCTCGGGTCCCTGGCACTTTCTGTACCTTCCTGCCTCCGCCCGCCTTTCTGGACTGTTACAGGAAGCTGTCCTTCGAGCACAAAATGCATTTTACACTTTCCATCTCTCTGTGCACTCTAAGCAAGACCAGTCAGCCACATGCGGCCATGTCTGTCCAGGGACTCCCAGGAACCTTTCCGAGCTGTTTTCCCAAACCTGCAGTCGCAGCAGCAGCCCAGAAGCACCCCGAGCCGCTCCCTGTGTGGGCGCTGGAGGGGCGGCTCCAGAAGGCGATGCACGGTGCTCCGATCCACCTGCCGCTGACTCAGCTCCCACTACCCACGTAGCCACAGCCTGAACAAAAGCCCAGAGGGCCCGTGAAATGCAGATGCCTCTCTGCCTACCAGTCTCCTTAGTGATGAGCAGGCAGGTCTATTTTAGCAGAGAAAACTCTTAGAATGTGAGAAACAGAAGGGACTTCGAGATCAGCTCATCTTGTGGTTCTCAGCTCCCACTGCTCATCAAAACCATCCAAGGAGATTAAAAAATATACCTCCAGAGATTGGGATTAGTTGGTCCAGGGTGGAGCAGGGATATTGTCTCAAAGTTCCCAGGTGAATTGTATGTCCAGCCACGATCGTGTCTCACCCCTTCATTGGACAGAGAAGGCTGAAGGGAGGGGACTTGCCCAAGGTCACACAGCATTGGGGGCATAATCAGGACCAGTCCTGACTCTTCCCTAAGGGCTCTGGTATTTTTTCTCTAGTTAGAAACCGCATCTAGTGAAATGGCTGGGGGAATTTTAAAAAAGCATCAGCAAATATTTACCAAATGCTTACTGTATTCTGGAAGAGGTAGAAGACAGATTAGATTTAGTCCAGTAGGGGAAGGACACAGATACCCAGATATCGCTGACTCCTGGTATACTATATGCTGGGATAAGGACACCAGGTGCTATGGGAGAACTAGCAGGGGAGATGGAGGAATCCAGGAAGACTTCCTGGGGGAGGAAGTGTTATTCTAAGTCTTGAAGGATCGAGAGGTAGAGTTGGTAGGTCGAATGCAGGATGCTCAGTTAAATTTGAATTTCAGAAAAACAACAGGTAAGTTTTTAATATAAGTAGTCCAAAGAGGAAATGAGACCTAGTTATACTAAAACATTTTCATTTTTTATCTGAAATTCCAACTTAACTGGGTATCTTTAATTTTATGTGCTACATCTAGCAACACGACTAGGGGCATTTCAGCAGTGGGCGCTGCAAATGAGAGAATTGCCAGCAAAAGGGGAGGAGGGTGGCATTGGCAGAAGCAGGAGAAACTACTGAGCAGTGACTGTCCCTGGGGCAGAAAGGGTGTGCGGGAGGGACAGGCTGTGAAAGCAGGGCCAGCCCAGGGAGGGCTGGTGAAGCCAGGTCTGGGGGTCACAAGCCACCACCCACCCACCCCGATGACTGCAACAGGCTCATGGTCCCCCCCCCCACCCCCCACCCCCGGTCCTTCCCTCTTGCTGTAGTTAGTTTCCAGGCGGCCAGAGCAACACACTGAACTCAAGTCAGACCAGCTCACGCCCTGCCCAGGCCTCCAGTGGCTTCCCAGGCCGTACCTAGAAAAAGACACCCAAACGCCTTACCCAGACCTGGAAGGCCCTGCAGGATCCCGCCTGGCGATTGGAATACAGTCTGCCCCCAAGCGTTGTTGGGAGGATTCGGGGGACGGTGTCAGGCGGTGTCCCCCACTTTGACTGTCGCCTGAAACCACCTGGAAAGCTTCAGCCCCAGAGGTTGTGGTTTAATTGGTCGGGGGAAGGCCTGAGTGTCAGGAATTTCTAAAGATTCCCCAGTGATTCCAATACACAAGCCAACGGGAATCACTGACGTGAAGCATGTTCTCCGGCCCAGAGCGAGTGGCTTGGTGAGGGGGCGCTAGGCCGTCCCCCACGTGTCCAACTTCATCTCAGCCCACGCCTGGCCCTGCGCCTTGGGCTTTCCCACCCGCCATTCCCTCTGCCCAGAATGTTCTGCCTCCCTTCCCCTCACTGGCCAACACTCACTCATCACTCCCGTCCCATTCCCCAGAACACACCGAGCTCCTCCTTTACCACACCTGCCTTACACTGTGCCTGTGATTTTAATTGTGTGGGTCCCTGCTTAGCGGCCCTGTCCCCAGCAGACAGTAAGCTACAACGGGTGGGGATCCTGTCTTTCCCATTCCCCGCTGCCCCCCTCGCCCCTGGAGCTGGACACATGAGGTCAGCACTCAGTAAATGTTAGTAAGAGAATGGATGAAAGAATGGCTTGAACACAGGTGTGATGTGGTCAGATCTGCATTTCCAGAAAGATGTTGCTGGCTGCTCTGTGCTGAAGCTGGGGGCGGGGGGGAGGGGAGAGGGGGGTGCAAGACACCAGTGCCTACACAGCTGTGACAGCACAGCCCAAGAAATGCGAAAGCCTCAACCAAGACAAAGGTGATGGGGCGGGAGGTGGGACCGATGAGAGACACTGGTTAGAAGGGTGGGGACTGGGTGAAGGTGCCATGGACTGAGGTTCTACCCTGAGGGACAGGCAGGGTGACCAGATGGAAGGTGATCCCAAGGAAGAGGCTGTTGCTGGGGAAGTTGAGTTCTATGTTGGCCAGGTTGGGTTGGATGTGTCAGTGGGGCATCAGGGGACATCTAGGAATCTGAGGCCGGGGACTAGAGAAGTCTAGGCTGGTGATAGAGATTTGACATTCATGTAAATAGAGGCAAATGACATTTAAAAGTTTTCATGCAAGAGTTTCTTGCCATTTCTGGGAGCAAGAATTTCGAGGGTGTGGAGTGTCCGTGCCGGGGAGGCCCTTCTGTCTGAGAGGGGCGAGTCACGGGCCCTTCCGTGTCCCCGCAGCTATCCTGGGCATGCACACCCTCATGAGCAACCAGCAGTACTACCAGGCCCTGGGCAGCAGCTCCATCGTGAACAAGGAGGGACTCAACAGTGAGTACGCAGCCCCCTGCCCCCTCCCCCCCAGCGAGGCCACCTTGGAAGGGAAGTCGTCCTCATACTGTTTGCTTCCTCCCACTCCTGCTCTTTGGCTCCTGGCAGAACTTTTACATTTTTATGTCGCCAAATCTCTCCACCTTTTCCTTTTACTCCTCCGGGGTTTATGTTTTGTTGACGAAGGCCTTCTCCATCCCAGTGTTATTAAAAGATCCTCCTATGTTTTCTCCTAAAAGTTGTAGAGGTTCACTTCTTATATGCAACTTCTTAATCCACCTGGAGTTCATGTTTGTGTGTGGTGTGAGGTGAGACCAGATTTTCATTTTTTAATGGATATCTCATTGTCCCAACACTGTAACTTGCACAGCGTCTTCCCACCGCTGGTGTGGGGCTCCACCTTGATCCTACACTTCCGTGCATCCACGTGCGTCTGTCTCGGGCGCCTCTCCTGTTCCATGAGTCCGCTTGTCTCTTCCTGTGCCAATATTGCATTGTCTTCATTGCCCAGGCACCTTCCAAGCTGGTGTTTGGACCCAGAGAGAAATGGGGGTGCCCAAAAAATCATGAACACACACACCCCGTAAGGCTTCCTTCCCCACCCAGGCTTCCTTTCATCCCCACAACAGCCCCTGTTCACAGGCTACAGGTGAGGACCTCAGGGTGCAGAGAATTTAAGGAAGTCGCCTAGTTCTTGCAGGACATTAAAGACAATCCAAGCAGGCTCTCCCCCACCCCCGCACCCCCCCTCCCCCATACATGTCCCTGAACTCTGCTTCCTCCTGAGCGCGCTTGTGTTGAGGGCAAGTGATCCCGGTCTCTGTGAGACACGCCCTTTCATGGGTCACTCTAGGTGTGATTAAGCCGACACAGTACAAGCCTGTGCCCGACGAAGAACCAAACTCAACAGACGTGGAGGAAACGCTGGAGCGGATAAAGAGCAACGACCCGAAGCTCGAAGAGGTTAACCTCAACAACATCCGGGTAAGTCCCGGCCTTCCCACTGCGCCGGAGGGGAGCTATTGCAGGGTGTCGCTGTGATGCCCACAGCCCGCCTAGCAGTGCAGAGAATGGGCCTGTGTGGCTCCGGGCCCCTCTGGGTCAGGAATAGGGACAAAACCTTCCAGGCGGGTGGACAGTGCAAACCAGGTGGCCCTGGTTTGTTTCCGAGAACTGACATCAGGCCCAGATGTTCATCCGGGACCAACCCAGCTGCAACTCGGGAAACCCACCCTGTTACTCAAAACAGAGCTTGTCTGAGATAAAATCGTGAGTCACACACACTTGGCTGCGTAGCATCTATGGCTGGAAAAGCCCGGTGCCCACCAGGCTCTCGGGGTCCCCCAGCCCGGGCGGTGCCGCCCAGAGCCACTGCTGCGCTGTGTCATGCACGCGTTCCGCCTCATTCTGCAGCGGAGAGGGAGCTGTGGGCCCAGAGGTGTGACGCCGTATCCCAAGCTGTCAGCCATATCTCTCCGGACATTTCCCGTGACCACCACGGGCACAGGAGGGACAGACGGACAGACAGTCCTATGCTGGACAGGCTGCAGGAGAAAGTCAGACGCAGCCCAGCTGCCTACCCACCTGCGCAGCCCGGCGGCCGGGGGATTGGTTCCGGGAGGGGGTGGCAGCAAGACAAGAAGCAGGCCCCTCACCCAGGCTCCTCTCTCCTTTCTTCTCCACTTTCTTTTAAGTGACTGCCAGCCCCACGGCACGATCAGATTGGAAACCCGCGTCCGGAGTGTTCTCCCTACCGGCCTCCCAGGCTCTGTTCCCATGGGGAGCTAAAGTGACGCTCTGAAATGAGAGATCCATTAAGACACAGCCAGGGCCTCCATTCCTGCCATGTGCCTGGAGGGAGACACTGGCCCGGTTCAGATCTGTGCGTCCTGGACCGGATGGCGGCTCAGAGGGCATGGGGTGGGGCCCCGCTCTGTTCAGTGTGGGGCCTCAGCAAGGGCTCGGCCGCCCCAGGCCTCATTCTCCCCTCTGCACATCAGGCAGCTGGACTAGCTCAGTGTATTCACCTGCGGAAAGTAAAAGATATATGCCAGACACACCCCGCTCCCCAGTTTCTGATTGTATTGGTCTGGAGCAGGCCCGAGCTTCAGCATTTTATAAAAGTTCCCAGGAACCTCCGGTGTGCGGCAGGGCTGAGACCTCAGGGACAGGTGTCTCTTAAAGATTATCTAGGGCACCCCCCTCCTCCCCCCCCCCCCCCCCGACACACACACTCACCTCTGTTCTCCAGAATCAGGCCCAGAGAAGGGAAGAGACCCTCCCAGAGTCACCGAGCAAACCAGGAACACTGCCACTTGCTGGGGCAGAGGCCAAGCCCCTGCCCAGCCCCGCAGCCCAGGCCCGAGCTCTTGGCACAACGCTCCTCCGCACCCACTGCCTTGCTTTTCCCTTCCCCTCTGGTCTCTGTGCTCACAGAGGAAGCAGTGGGTCCTGTCTGAACTTCCAGGAAGGGTTTCTGTCAGTCTGTTTGCCAGAAGGTTCTCCCCAAATCCCAGCTACGTGGAGGAAAGCCGGAATCCTTTGCCCGTTTAGCGTTTTGGTCAGATTTGCCATAAATCAGGCTGCGCGTAGTTACACCCTCTGACCAGCCTGCCGCTGGCAGGGACCGCTGCTCACCGCCTGCCTTTCTCTCTGCAGAATATCCCCATACCCACCCTCAAGGCGTACGCAGAAGCCCTGAAAGGCAACTCGTATGTGAAGAAGTTCAGCATCGTGGGGACGCGGAGCAATGACCCCGTGGCCTATGTATGTACCTTTCTCTTCCGCTGCCTTGAGGGTGGGCGGCACATAAACGGACGGGCTGATGCTCGTGGCCTCGGGACTGGCCATATCCCAGTGAGGAAGAACCTCGCCTGGTGCGGTGAGGGGCATTGGGCGAGAGGCAGGAGAGGACGTGGACGGAATGGTGGGTACCCGGGCACCACCTGTACGTTATCCTAGTTCATCTCCACCAGCACCCCTGGTCCCGGAAGTGCCGGTCTCCCCACTTTGCAGATGAAGAACCTGAGGTGCAGGGAGCTCAGGAAACATGCTTTGTCCAAAGTCCCAGAGCAAGTGGAAGGGGGAGCTGAGTTTTAAATGCAGCTCACGTGACCCTGCAGCTGGATCTCTGCATTCAGCATGGTTTGGACAAGGCCTGCCCCGCACGGCGCCTCGGTTTCTCCATCTTTAAAATCATCGTCTTCCTCAGTGGGTCCGGATGACCAATTTTATTCATTATTTTTTATTTATATCTTAAAAATACTGTTGTTCAAATGAAATTGTATTTATTATAAAGTAGCCCTCGGTTCGTTTTTCTTTTTACACATTCAACACAAAGGCGGGTGTCAGTCAGCCCGTCCGCACCAGTATACCCACTCTGGATACTGGGGTGCTCTGGGCTGGCCAGTAAATCAGGCTGCTCTGTATGTCCCCCCACTGCCCGCCCCAGCTCTTCTCCCACCCACCCCTGACCCCCAATTCCTTCACTCCGGTCCACCTGGCATGGCAGTGCCTCGCACCTGCTCAGCCACCAGCGTGTCCCCTTGGATCAGCCTGTGGACTTGCCTATGGTTATTAAATATTTTGATTGGCAGGCCCAGGCAAGGGGGATTCTGGGAGAGAACCCAGACTGGGTCCCTCCCCTCAGGAGGGTCACAGAGAAAGCGGACATGCACCCTGGGGGTACAGCGCAGGGCGAGCTGAGCGGGGAGTGATGGCCTCAATAAGGAAGGCTTCCTGGGAGTGAGCCTTGGGTACGGTCTCAGCAAGCAGGGGCGGTGGGAAGGGCACTCCTGGCTCAGCTCACCATCGCAGACAGCCAGGCCCACAGGTTGTATATCCTGGCCTATCAGCTTCTGGTTGGTGTCTCCTTTCCTCCACCACACACTGTCCCCACCAACGCTAATTACTTCATTTCCTTCAGAGGTTCTGATTGTCATCTACGCCCCTGGCCAAATTCCCCCCACACGTGCTGTGCTGGCGCTACCTGAGCCCAGTGGGTGGTTTCCCAGGCTCCCCTCTCTGCTCTCTGCTGCTCAGACCCAGAGAAAGTGACTCCATGGAATCCCAACAGGAACTAGAAGAGACAGTGAGAGTATTTGGGGAGGTTGGGACTCCACCAGTCACTCATGGATGGTGATGAGGACTTGTTACGTGCTGAGCACTGTTGGATGAATACAGTGATTTTCAGCCCACAGAGGGTAGAGAAAGTCTAATGGCAGAGACAATATCAATATAGAAACAACCTAAACCAGGGAATACAAGTTCCATGAAGGCGGTGTGGATAAATTCTATGCGGTTCGATAAGACAGGCCACAGCGAGCTGGCGGTGTCAGCGATGCCGCTCTCAGAGAAAGGGGCATTGAAAACAGCCTTGAAGGACGGGCAGGGTTTGGATGAGTGAAGCAGAAGGGAAAGGGCATTCCAGTTGGCAAGGACAGAAGAAGCGAAGGCTAAACAGTGGGAGAGCTCTGGGCGTGCACGGGGACCTGGGAGTAGTCCTGCCGTAAGGGAGCAGCGAGGGTTGAGGCTGAAGAGGAGAGGAGAACCTGCATTCAGCAGAGGCTCCGGGAGGGGTTTGGGAGCCGTGGCAGGTGGAGGGGAGGAGAGACGCCAAGCTGTGCTTGGTGAAGGGAGTGTGGCGAGCCTGGTCCCTAGCTTGAACAGCAGAGGTGTACGAGGGACTCTGGCTCCCGGCAAGTTTCCCTCAATATTTTAGGTTTTACCCAAGAGGGGCTCCAGCCTTGCTCAAGGTGACTCACAGGTACCCTGGCTTTTCTCCTGTGGCTCAAGGCCCTTGCTGAGATGCTCAAGGAGAACAAGGCGTTGAAGACACTGAATGTGGAATCCAACTTCATTTCCGGAGCGGGGATCCTGCGCCTGGTGGAAGCTCTTCCACACAACACTTCTCTGGTGGAACTGAAAATCGATAACCAGGTGAGCTGAGCCAGGGCCCCCTCGAGTCCTTCGCTACAGGAGCTCGCCGTCCTGCGCTTTCCTGCGTGCTGCTGGGTGGAGTAGATGCTGCTGATTATAAAAGCTACGGAGCCCAGCTTCAGGGGGCCTCCACCACGCTCACCTTCCTTCTTCATTCCCACCAAGGGCTCTGGCAGCTTTTGCGTGTGTCCCCCTAGTGATGGGGAGCTCGTCTACCCTTTCTGATCTCCTGTAGAAATTAGCTCCCTTTAAGTCCTGCTTGCTGGGCTTAATCTTATAACCATTGGAATCTTCCTCTCCAGGCTAAATATCCCATTTCCTTCAGTCACCCCTGCCCCCCACTCAATGGGTTTTTGAGTCTCCTTACTCATCGAAGTTATTCTTTGGGTAAATTCTGGTTTGTTTTTATCATTATGGGGTTATGTTTCTCTATAACTTCTGTGATTCAGTCATTTATTTTCAGGGCAACTCTTTCAGTCCTGACTTTTAAAACAGAGCTGATAACAGTATCTTACATGTTAGATATCTTACATGCTACATGTGTTGAGGGTCCATTGTGGGCTCGGCTTCGTGCCAGGCACCTGACACACCCATCTCTGGTTTTCCCAGCCTCCCTGCAGGAGGTGTGTATTCTCCCTCCCACCTTGCAGATGAGAAAACAGTTCAGACAAGCAACATTCTCAGGGCCACCACGTTCGTGTTTTAGGAGCCAGGATTTGAATCCAGGACTCGGTGACTCTGAAACCCACACTCCACCCATCACGTGTTAAAACACTTTCACACTGTCTTCTTTATGGTGTGTGGATAGGGAGCTTTCATTTTCTACATGACAATGTTTGCTTTCTGGTCATATAAATGTGTGCATAGGAAAAAGATGGGAAGGAAATACAACAATTGTAAGTAGTGGTTATCCCTGACTGAGATATTCATCTCTATTGTAAACTATTTCAAACAAACAGAAAAGTGCATGAAATGTAAATGCACAGTTGAACGAATCACACCGCGCTTGTGACCCCTGTCCAGGCCAAGAGCTGAAATATCACCAGGTTCCAGAAGACGTCTGTGGTCCCTTGTCCATCGGAACCCTGGCAAAGCTCTTCACAGTGTGCTCCCTGCTTACTTTCCAACCTCCACGTCTTCACTCTTGCTTTTCTCCCCACTGGAGTGTCCTCCCTGCCCCTACCACTCTGCCTGGAGAGCTCCTCTTCCTCTGGGTTCGGCTGCAGCCCCTTCCTCTCCCACTGGGGTCTGGAGACAGCTGGAACCAGCATGCCAGAGCCGACTCACATCTCTTCCCAACTCCCCTGCAGTGGTAGCACCTCGGAACCTTGAACCCGCCCCTGGTGGGAATATTTACACTGTGGAAATTGGCCCCTCAGAGCAAGGTGGGTCCTCCCCCCCCCGCCCCCCCACCGTGTTCTCCTGGGACCTTGGCTTCCCTGTGAGATTCTCAGAAGCTGGTGCTGTGTCATCTCCATCTCAGGCCGAGCTCAGAACTTGGCCCACAGTGGTGCTTGGTAAGCAGGGCCGCCCTGGATGGCTGTGCGTGTTCACCGCACAATGAGCAGGCAGGGGTCGGAGTCTAACCCGCATTCCTCTCTCCAGGACTTGGTGTGGGGCTTTGTCCCCAAAGAGGGTCCTTTTTTCTCACTCATATAAAGAGGCCGCGTGAGCCTGCTGCAGCCCGGTCATGTCCGTCTGCTGCATTGGACTCCTTGCATCTCTCATATGCTGTGGCCTTGCTGCTGCATCGCCCATTCCCAGCCCCTACCCACCCCACCTCTTATGTCCCTCCTTTGGCCATTGCTGATCCTGCTTTATTGGAGGCAGGAGGGGCACAGCAGATGGAATAGAGGCATGCAGCCAGCTTGGCAGCAGCTCTGGGCCAGGCCCGGGATCAGCTGGTCATGTGACTTCAAGCCTAGCTGTGCATCGAGTCAGGGTCTACCCAGCGTCAGCTGAAAACTGACACCTGGGGCAGAATGCCGGCCACAGAGGGCCCAGACCACTGGCCTCAGGTCACTGTGATGGCAGCTGCCAGGGGACGAGCTGCCCACCTTCCTTCTCACTACTATTCCCCCTCTTCCCCCCCCAGCTCAGAGATGGAGCCATCACCCTCACCTGGTACACTTCCCTGAGCCTCACTACCTCCCTTGTAAATGGGGTCATAAAATCTCCACTTCTGAGGAGATGACAGATTAAACTAGGTGGCCGATAACTTCTGTAATTACTCCAGAGGCAATCTAGGGACTTCACACATTATTCAGAGTTAATTTCCTGAGAGAGGCCACGAATCCATTACGTCATTTAACGCTCACAGACTGTGAGTGGGTATTACAACCCATCGTGGTATTGTCGACGAGGAAACTGAGGCCCTTGCAGGCTATGTGACCTGCCCAGGATCACACAGTAAGTAAGTGGCAGAAGCAAGATTAGAACCCAGGTCTAGGCGACTCCAAAGTGTATGAGCTGAGCCTGTCTGGGCTCTTGAACCCTACTGTAGTTTCACATGGCCCTCGCTTGGTGTAAGGCCAGAGCATTCTCACACCTACCCCCAGCCTGGGAGCCTCATTTTTGGTTTCTATCAGCATTTGGTGAGTGCTGGCTGCACCCCAGAGCAGTGCTGGGCACTGGGTGAATGAGGCTCTCTTGCTGCCCTCCAGGGATTCCATGCTGCGTAGGAACCATAGAGCAGAGATGAACATTAGGTGCGGTACTCCAGCAGGCCACAGACAGAGGGCCCTGTGGTCCACCGGGGTGGGCCGTCTCTGCCAGGAGCAGGCATCAGGGAGGGCTTCTTGGAGGAGGTGACGTTTGAGATAAACCTTAGGGTGGACAGTATCTCAGAGTGGGAAGTAGAGACCATGGCATCTCAGGTGCAGGAATCACACGAACAAAGAGAAGGAGAAGGGAAAGTGAAGGAGCCCATCCAAACATGATAAATGGTACCCCAGGAGGAAGGGAAGAAACGGAGTTGGGAGTCCACGAGGCTCTGAATGGATGCTGAGGGAAGGTGGGTTGTAAACTGCCCTGTGCACCAAAGTTGTGCTCGGGGAACATGTTCCCTGCTGGATGGGAGCAGGAAGAGGGCGTCAGGGCCTGGGAGACCAGAGAGGTGGGATGACCTCCTGGATGAGGGGACCTGGGGGAAGTGCTCCCATATGCTGGAGTCTGGAGACTGAGTGGGGTCTGGCAGGGAAGGAGGAGGACTGGGAGGAGGCCTATTTTGAGGAGGGAGCTCAGCCACCCAGGCCCTAGGGAGGCCACCCATGCCTCTCCCAGTGCGTTAGGAGGTCTGGGCATGGTGACTGCCTCTCATCAGGTGCCCCAGCCCCTAGGCTTCTAGGGAGTGTGGCCAAAAGGAGGTGATGAGTGGCATGTGATTTATTCCTCATTCTTGGTTAGTCCCCGAGGCCTTCAGAGGCGGCAGCCTTCTCCTCAGCCCTTGTGCCTGCCACCTGTGTCAGTGAGTCGCTGCTCTCCTTTCTCCTTATATGGCCAAGGAAAGGGACTTGGGGCCTTCTACCCGGTGACAGGAGCCTCCCAGGCTGGCTCGGGACACACATTCTGGAACCAGGACTCTGAGGCTCTTTGTTTACTCGGCCAGTCTTTCTTTATCTCCAGCTCTGCTCTGCTGCTGCCTGAAGTTGCCCAGAGCCAGCAGTGAGGGCTGGAGGGGCAGGGAAGGCAGTGAGGGTGGGAGAGGGCAGAGGGGCGCAGACCTGGAGCTGAGGACATTGAGAAAATGGCAGTCCTGCCCTCCTTTTAAAGGTGGGGAAACTGAGGATCAGAGAAGGGATGAGACTTGCCCGAAGTCATAGATCAAGGACACGTCAGAGCTGGGTGGGAGCTGAGAGGTCCTGCCTGTCAGACAGGCTGCCTGTCTGGATGGACAGGGTCGACCCTACAGATGGGGTGTCTGCAGGCCCCGTCCACTCCCAGCAGGTCATACCCAAATGGGGGTTCTCTGGGCCCCTTGATTCACCCTCCTCACTCCTGACTGAGCTCCCTCCAGCAGGTCCTTCCCCAGGACCCTGAGGGCTCAGGGTGCTCTCCCTGCCCCTCTGAGCAGGTAACACCTGAAACACGACCCCCTCCCCAAATGAAGATATGTGCAAGGTCGGGGGTACTGGCTGGATTTATCACGTTTCATTCCAATGTTTGACAGTGAGGATGTGCTTAATATTTTTAAAAAAAAAAAAAAAAGCTAAAGAAAGTGGATTGTGTTTTCTTGTTTTCCCAGATTGGGCTATTTTCCTAATGAAAATCAGTTTAGAAAGAAAATAAAAGATACACTGGAATAGAATCCTAAAGGTTTTCACACTTGGCGACACCCCTTACTGTTAGATACACACTTATGTCAGCTGGCTAACTGTGTCAAGTGAGACTGAATATACTTTTGGATTTGCAAGGCGTAAGAAAAACACTTGAAAACCAAAAGAGCAAGACTATTTGACTAATTGTGTTCTCTGTGTTGCTGTGTTGTTCCTTCTACATTTACCTCCGAAGTAGCAGCTCTGGGTCTGTGCCTCCTTTTCACATCTGTATTTTCACTGCGATTTGAAGTAATTTAGCCTGGAATTAACTAAGTAATTCCACCTCAGTGAGAGGACAGGCCCAAGTCACTGTTCCTTCACCCACATGCCAGTTGTGTTTTTTTACTGACCCCCCTTCTCAGGGGAAAATGAGATGAAATTAGTGGAAGTGAGAGACAAAATGTATGGTGAAGAGAACACCCTTCTCCTACACAGATCAGAGTGAATTAGACTAAAGATTTGTGACAACAACCGTCTCGCTCCATGTCAGGTTGTCACGGCAGTCTGTCCTGAAAAACCAGGAGCTTCCCAGACAAGAGACAGACTGACCCAAGGATGACCTGTCTTCAGTCCCTGACACTTAAAGTCAAACAAAGGATCAAGCCCGTTCTTTACTTGCTGTGTAACTCAGGAACGTCACTTAATGTATCCATGCCTCTGTTTCCTCATCTATAAAATGGGAATAATACTGATACTCAACCTACTAGCGTAGTGAGAGGATTTAATGTGTTGATCCTTGAACCGTAGTATTCTCTCATCAGAGGGAGGTGATATTTCTGTTGTTTGTTAGACTTAGTTGGTGGTGGACAGATGGGGTGGGGAGAACTGACTTCTGGGAGAGATTCTAGCTCGTGCAAGGAACAACTTTTTACTTCCTTTCTTTCTTCCCTTATTCCCTGTCTTTCTTACTTAAATTTACTTTTTTAGTGAAGTGTAGCATATATGGTAAAGCAAATATGTCTTAAAAGGACAGCTCAGTGGATTTATACATGTATACACCTGTGTAATCCCCACCAAGATCAAGACAGAATGCATCCAGCAGCCCAGCAGGCTCCCTCTTGCCCCTTCCCAATCGATACCCTCCTAATGCAGTCACGTTCTGCTTTCTGTCACCGTAGATGAGTTTTGCCTATTCTTAAGCATCAGCTCAATGGAATCACATGCATGTGCTCTTTTATGTCTGGCTTTTTTTGCTCAACATTACGTGTGTGCACCAATTATCTCTAGCTGTGTAACAAATTACCCCCCAAAATTTAGCAGCTGAAAACAATGATCAACATGGAGCAGACCGCCCATATTCAGACCCTGGTCTGCACCTGCCTAGCTCTGTGATTCAGTGGGAATTTCTTAATACCTCTGTTCTTCATGTCTGTAAGATGAAAGGTACAACAATAGTACATATTCCATAGGTTCCTAGTTAGCGTATGTAAGGTGCTTATGACATGCAACTAGAGGCCCGGTGCATGAAATTCGTGCAAGGGGGTGTGGGGTGGGGGCAGGTCTCCTCAGCCTGGCCTGCAACAACGCAAGCGTTCCGCACCAGGCCTGTCCAGAGGCCCTCTGTGGCTGGGTGCGAAATGCTGGTCTCGTTGCCATGGCGATGAAGCAAGCATTCCTTCAGGCTGCTCACGCTGTCCGCTCTCAGCAACCGCCCCCCTCAGGACTGGGGGACTCCGGCGGGGCTGAGAGGACTGGGTGCCGCCATCTTTGTGACAGAGTGACAGTTAATTTGCATATTACTCTTTTATTAGAAAGGATAATTACTAACTAACAAGTATTTGAAAAATAAGTAAGAACCAGAGTTTTAGTCCTAACCTCATCCCCAATGGCCTCTTCTCTCATCTATGAGACTTCTGGTCTCAGAGTCCCTGGAGAAAAGGGGACAGCCTGAGAATGAAGCAAGTACAAAGCTGGTTAAGATGCATACATGTTTTCTATTTTACTCCGTAATGTAAAAATAGTGGTTTTGGTCCAAGATTAACATGCCAGGAAGATTGGCCACAATTATCTAAAAGAATCCTGTATCTTCTCTGTCTCTCTCTCTCTCTCTCTCTCTCTCTCTCTCTCTCTCTCTCTCACACACACACACACACACACACACACACACACACACACAGCACAGACATCTGCGTGTGTCTCAGGGACAGTGGATGCTAGTTTGAGAATGTGGGCCTACAGGGTCCTCTGAAGTCCTTCCAGCCCCAGGCCAAGGTCAAGCCTTGGCTCCGTCATTAAGCAGAGGGAGCACAGTCCATCTTCCATCTATATGTGGGCTCCGTGCACTCATCTCTAAGACGGGGTGCTAGTTCCTGCCTGCCCGGCCCTCCTCCCCAGGATGTAGGGAGGTTGGATGGAGGCAGTCAGATTTGGGGTGCTCTGTACTCTGAACTGAGTGACCTGAAGTGCCAGCTTTATAGAAACAGCCCTGGCAGCCCTCCAGTCAGGGAGGACCTGCGCTTCTGTGCTCTCTCAGAGTAGTGCTCTCTCAGAGTTTGTGAGTTTGCGAGTTTGTGCAGTGCTCTCCCAGCAAGTGCCCTCAAGGGGAGGCCAGGCTTCCAGCTCAAAAGGGTGGGGGGTGGGCGGTGTGGGGTGAGATGGGCTGCCAGGCCAAGCCAGCCAGAGTGCAGGGCTGGTCTGAGTTCTCTGAGGACAGGCCAGAGCTCTTCCCAGCCCTTTCAGGAGCCTTGCCAAACAGTCTGGTGGAATTTCACCAATGGCCCTCTGCTTGCCCTAATCAGCGTCTCAGCCCCATCTGAACCCAGACGAGCTCTGGTGAACTCAGAATAACCTGGGAGGAGTTCTCCGTCAAGGTTTCAACCACGGTTCCATGCTTGTCTCTTTGGATGTTGGGCTGATGTATCTTCTCAACTCTCCTATGCATCGAGCCTATTCCTGTTTCCTTCATTCAATTCAATCCTGTGACCTTGACTTTGACCTAGAGATCCTGGGTCCTGTGTGCTATCCCAGGGCTCACAGTGTAGGACAGCACCTCCACCAGAACTTTCTGTGATGATGGAAATGCTCCGTATCTGCAGGACCAACATGGTAGCCAGTGGCTATTGCACACTTGACATGTGGCTAGTGCAACTGAGGAACTGAATTTTAAATTCTATTTAATTTTAATTATTTAAATTTGTAGTTTAATAAACAGTCCAATTTAAAAATGGGCAGAATATCTGAATAGACTTTTTTCCAAAGAAGACATACAGATGGCTAATGGGTACATGAAAAGATGCTCAAAATCACTAATCATCAGGGAAATACATATCAAAACCATAATGAGATATTGCCGCACACCTGGTAGAATGGCTATCATCAAAATGACAAGAAATGCCATGGGTTGGCAAGGATATGGAGAAAAAGGAACCCTTGTGTACTGTTGGTAGGAATGTAAATTGTTGCAGCCACTATGGAAAACAGCATGGAGATTCCTGAAAAAAATATAAAACTGCCATATGATCCAGAAATCCCACTTCGGAGAAAACACAAACACTAATTCGAAAAGATATAGTGTGTACCCTCGTGATCACTGCAATTGACAATACCAACACATGGAAGCAACCTAAGTGCACACCAATGGATGAATGGATAAAAAAGGTGTGTGTGTGTGTGTGTGTGTGTGTGTGTGTGTGTGTGTGTACACAATGAAATATTATTCAATCATAAGAAAGAATGAAATCTTGCCATTTGCAACAACATAGATGGACCTTGCGAGCCTTATGTTAAGTGAAATAAGTCAGACAAAGACAAATACCCTATGAGCTCACCTATATGTGAAATCTAAAAACAAAACACAACCAAGTTCATAGATACAGAGAAAAGATTGGTAGTTGCCAGGGATGGGGGTTGAGTGGGTGAAATGGACGAAGGGGATCAAAAAGTGAAAACTTCACCCTGCCAGCGTGGCTCAGTGGTTGAGCATCAACGAATGAACCAGGAAGTCATGGTTCGATTCCCAGTCAGGGCACGTGCCCAGGTTTCAGGCTCTATCCCCAGTAGGGAGAAGCAGCCAATGAATGATTTGCTCTCATCATTGATGTTTCTCTCTCTCTCTCTCTATCTCTCTCTCTCCCTCCCTCCCTCCCTTTCTCTCTGAAATCAATAAAAATATATTTTTTAAAAAGTGAAAACTTTTAGCTATAAAACAAATAAGTCATAGAGATGTAATGTACAGCATGACTTATAGTATTAGAATTAATAATCCTACATTGCATATTCGAAAGTTTCTAAGAGTAAATCTTAAAGGGTTTTCCCTTTCTTTCATCTTTGTCAGATGATCACTATAGCTTTGGGGGTAAGGGACATAACAGGCTGTAGGAAGCTGACTCTGGCATTCCCAACCCCCTGTGTGACTTTGGGCAAATCCTTTTCCCTCTCTCAGCCTCAGATTCTTCACTTGTAAATTGCAGATGAGTCTAAATGACTGATTATCAAACCTGCTGTACATTGGAATCACCTGAGGAGTGTGAAAAGCCATGTACACCTGAGCCGCACTCCCAGTGATCCTGGATTAATTAGTATTAATTAATTGAATCTCAGTTAAAGGTATAGTTTGTCTGTTCTTAAAAGAAAATGTCACAGTCTTTCTTGTGAGCAATTAGTATGGGGAACAGCCTGGGCAGCAGGACTTTTACATTTCCTTGGGACTAGATGATTTGAAGGTCCTTCTGCTCAGTCCTTCTAGGATGCTGCTGTGGGCCAGTGGAAAGATCTATCGTAGGTGTCGGTGGCCTGGGTTCGAATCCCAGCTCATTTCCTCCTGGCTGTGACCTTTCACCTGCCCTCGACCTCCATTTCCTGCTCTGGGAGGTGGGGATAAAATCCCCGCCCACCACTCAGGGTTTCTGGTGGGTAGAGAAGGGATAGGTGCCTTGCAAATGGAATGAGTGGTGACTATTGTTCTTTCTTGACCAAAGAGCCAGCCCCTGGGCAACAAAGTGGAAATGGAGATCGTGAGCATGTTGGAAAAAAACACAACGCTTCTGAAATTCGGCTACCACTTTACCCAGCAGGGGCCCCGGCTGCGGGCCTCCAACGCCATGATGAGCAACAACGACCTTGGTGAGTAAAAAACGTGCTCCCTCCCACCTGTCCTGGGGGGAATTTTCATGGATAACTTTCCCAGGGGGTCCTCTTGGTGAGCCTGACTCCGACTTTCACGTTGGTTTCATTCGTTATGTGTGTTTGTGCCTTGTCTCCTCGCTGGGCCCTCTCCTCCCCGCAGCAAAGCTCAGCTCAGCTCAGCCCAGGGCAGGCCCAGAGGGCACCCTCAGTGTATTAGCTCCTGAAATGAAACGCGGAAGAACACAGGCTCACCGGGAGTCTCCTCTTCCGAACACCCTTCTCCGAACTCAAGAATTCTGTCCAGGTCACGGTCTGGCTCCAGCCCCAGGTCCCACAGCCCCCAACCAGCACTATTACCAAAGCCCCAAGCCTAGGAGACTTCTCTTTGTTTTTAAGATAAGAGTTGAAAATGTTGACTTCATAGTAAACAGGTTACAGTAATTGAATCTCAGTTAAAGGTATAGTTTGTCTGTTCTTAAAAGAGAATGTCACAGTCTTTCTTGTGAGCAAACACCCAGTAAGTCAGTTGAATGAGAAGTGGCATCAATCGCTGACTTCTCCAGATGCCAGTTGTTCCCAACCTCTGTGTGTAGTTACTTACGTGTGTTCCTGCTGGCTGTTAAAAGAACTTGGTACAGTGTCCCCAAAAGAGTGGGTCTGATAAGGCTATAGGAACACTGGAGGGAAAAACAACCAGGAAAAGGAGTAGGCCTAATACGCTAACATATTTGATTATTATATTTAGCCATGAGTTTGCTAGAGACAAGGCAGGAAGAAGAAAATCCAAATTACGTTATTCTTATTACAGACGAGACGGAAGCATGATGAGTTAAAAAAAAAGGAAGTTGCTTTCTGCGATTGAATTATGAAATACGTTTTCTAAAGGGCAATGTATTCAGTGAGTTTTTTCATCCAATTCAAACCTGCTTTACACGTGGCTTTTGTTGCTTGTTTTGTTTTTAACACTCAGTGAAATACAAAGAGCCTCTAATTCTAAAGCACATGGCGATGAACCTGGGGCGAGGTTAGTGCCGGAGATGAGTGTGTAGGTGAGTGTGCACAAGGCGGGCACTCACAGACCCTCTGCCTAGATAACCTCAGAGCCACACACACTGCAGATTGAGTGAGTCAATTCAACAAACACCGGTCAAGGCCCTATAGGCCCCTGGGTGTTGAAGATGCAGGTTCTTGCTCTTAAAGATATCACAGCCCAGAGGCTACTTGCCACATTTTTCTAGAGCTGCAGGTCCAGGAAAGTCCATAAAGCAAACAAAAAAAAATGCAACCAGTGTCCTGGTTTATCTGAAGTGCCCTGATTGGAAATAAAATAAGAACTAACACTAGTAACGAAGAATTGCGATTATGATGGTGCCACAGAGTTGACAGCTACCCTGAACTGTTGAGGGAGGCCATCCATCTAAACTCGTTGCCCCAGCGATGAGCTGGCTTCAGAAGGAGCACTGCAAGCCTTCCGTTCTGTTGTGCTATGCAGTAGCCTCCCGGTGCCCCTCCCAGCCTAGGCTGAGCTTCCTGTGTGCCCCTCGGTGCCTCTCTCAGGGCTAATCCAGCTCAGGTCTTCCAGTAGCAAGATGGTCTGGAGGTCTTTTTTTTTTCTGGGGAAGGAAGGTTCCAGATGACTAGAGATCAAGGTTGTTGCAGGGAAGGGGGGGAGGGGGGAGGGGTGGGGTGGGGTGAGACACCAAAATCAGCTGGAGGTGTAATGAATTGCCCTGAAGGACACTCCCAGTCCTGAGAGTCTGTGATTCCAAAATCCAGGCCCAACTCCTAGCACCAGGGATCTCTTGAGGTTGTGGCAGGACCCGAGAGTGCCTGAGCTGGAAGGACTTCAGGCCCATCCCTCCATTCCCTGCGGAGAAAGTGAAGCCTGGGTCAGGCTGCCCTTCTAGGCAGTGGCTCCATCAAGCCACACCCGTGGTTAGTGAGCGTGTGCTCGGTGACGTGAGGGGCAACAGAAACACTAGTTCCCTGACTCAGGAACCTTTATACCTTTTAGGGGAGAAAAGACTCAAAGATGTGCCTAAAAATTCAAGCGTGCCTGCATACTGTATCCAAGTAAAATGAGGACATGATTTGTGAGGACAAAGGCCAGTTAAACAAAGCATCCTGGTTGGGGTGGGCCTTCAGCCAGCCTGGAAAGGAAGAGAGAGGTTGTGGGGGAGGCCAGGAGGCGTTCCTGATGGGGTGCTAGCCCAGGAGGCATTCCTGATGGGGTGCTAGCCCAGGCAAAGGCGAGGTGGTAGGACCCAGTGTGCAGGACAGGAGAGACGAAAGACTTAAGAGGACTGAGGAACTAGCATGGGGAGTTAGACCTAGAACCGAAAGTAGGATGCCCTAACTGGTTTGGCTCAGCGGATAGAGCATCGGCCTGCGGACTCAAGGCTTCCAGGTTCGATTCTGGTCAAGGGCATGTACCTTGGTTGCGGGCACATACCCAGTAGGGGGTTTGCAGGAGGCAGCTGATCAATGTTTCTCTCTCATTTCTAACTCCCTATCCCTCTCCCTTCTTCTCTGTAAAAAATCAATAAAATAATTTTTTTAAAAAAAAAGAAAATAGGAACTCACAGAGAAGGGAGGAAGGGCGTTTCAAGCAGAGGGAATGGCATGGGCAAAGGCAGGATGATGGGCAGATATGCAAGGTGTTTACAAGGAATGGGACTCAGTAAATGTGGGGAGGCTGTGAGCCAAAGGCCTTTAATGCCAACCTGAGGACTTTGGTGATGAAAGCAGGTGGGGAGCGGGACTGTGGCAGTTTCCTGGGCAGGAGTGACAGGTGATAAACGTGGGCCTCTGGGTTACCCCGGAGACTGTGCAGCTTGCCCCTCGGGGTCTCCCACAGGAGGAACCAGAGCAGCATCGGCTCGGCGATTACACACAGCAGGCAGGGCGCTAGTTGGTGATGTAGGATTTCTAGCTTTAAAAGCAAATTTGCGGCCATCTGCTAATTTTGGTAAAAGAAATGCTTCTGATTCTGACAGTGCATCAGAAAAAGGGAGATCGTTCTTTAACAAAGGATTCTGTGAGAGAGAAATCCTTGCTTTCCAGCACAGTCCCTCATCTCGCCCGTGATGCTCCGATGAAGCAGACAGGCTTCTGTGTTTTCCAGCTGAATATTTTTATCATAAAATATTCCTGTGGGCCCCACCCAGCCTGGGTGTGAGCAATGCCTGAGCCTCTCCGGTCTCCTCTCACTGTGACCTGCTCTGTGCCGGCTCCCGGCTCCCAGCCTATGGCTTGGGCAGGTGGGCTCCTCCTGGGGGGATATCAGTCCCCAAGGCCATGGGTCAGCCAGAGCCCCTGCAGACAGGCAGCCTGCCTGGGACCCTTCCCACTCTGTGTTCTGTGGGAGAGAGCAGGGACCTGGGCATGGCGGCATCTGGGAGGAGCCGCAGATCCCCGGCTACATTTTCCCATGGTGATCTCAGATGAGTCCTATCTCCACACTATTTATAGCTCAGACCTAGGCTAAGCCTGGCTGTCAGGTCCCGTAAATCTGCTGTTGAAGTTCTCTCTACTTAATTAAATCTGAATTGCAGCCTCCAAGATAAAACAGTTGTGTGTGTGGGATGAGGAGGGGGGGGAAGGCTGAGGTTCTGTTCCTTTGTTACTAATGTTGTGGCCCCATCCCATAACAAAGAAACAGAATTTCCGGAGGATGAGGCCCAGAAATCAGGATTTTAAAAAGATTCCCAGGTGATGCTAATGTGCAGCCAAGGTTGAGAACCACTGCCCTAAAACCATCTCAGAAAAGGCACTACTTTCCGCAGCCATTCAAACCAGAAATCTGGGCGCCTCTCTGTGCACAGCCCCACCCCAGCCAGTCACCTCCTCGCCACCCCTGTGGGGCTGCCTCATGTCAAGTCCTCATCACACTTACCTGGTCCTCCGGGGCTGGCATCGGGCACAGTGCTCATCCCGAGCCTTGTCCTGTCAGGATTCCTTCAGGCTCTGTTTAGACCCCTTTCAGGGCTCCCAGTGCTCTCAGCCTAAACTCCCTGACATGGCTCACAAGTCCCTTAACAACGTAGTTGATACTTACATGGTGCCCGCTGTGTGCCAGGCACTGCTGTGCACACTCCCATCTTACTCCCACAGGCTGCCAGCACCCAGCTGAGGCAGGTGCTGTTGTTACCCCCATTCTGTGCTAAGGAAAGGAGGCCTAGAGAGTAGTAAGGTTACCCGCAGTGGGCAGAAGTGGGCTTCGAACTGGCAGTCCAGCCCTTGAACCTGTGCTCTCCACCTCCTCTCTGGGTGAGGCCCTGCCAGACTCATCTCTTGACACCCCTGATGAGCCATCCTCTTGCCATATCAGTACCAACCATTCCAGGTAGCTAGAATGCCTCTGAGTGACCCAAGCAAAAGCATCCCTATAGAGGGCCTTTACGCCTAATGTTCCTGCTCCCTTCCCACCATCTACCCCTTTATCCTGTAAGATTCAGCAGAATGTCACCTGCCCATCCTCAGAAGATCTGACCACTTTGTGCACTGTGCCTCATACTTGATAGAGACCTGCCAGGGTACCTGTAATAGTTTATCAGACTTACTGTTGGTATATCTTGGTCCCCTGTTAAGCAATATCTTTAGTTCTGATTCTTGTGCTTGGGGCGCAATAGCACTGAGTAAGTGCTGTTGTGTATATAAACGCATGTAAAAGCTCCCCAAAGACGTGATGGAGGTGTCCAAGCCTGGCAGGAAGTGATGGAGGGAGCTCAAGCCACCACGGAGGTTGGTCCGGATGACTCAAGATTCCTTCTGGCTCTGCTAAACGAGTCTCTTGATGTTGCAATGATAAGCAACACAGAGGAGTTTGCTTTAGTGGAAGTAAAAAGCAGATGGAATGGAAGATGGATATTGGGAGACCCGGCTTCTACTCCCAGTTCTGTCACTTATTCTCGTGACTTGGAGCATGTTATTCCCTCTCTTGGCCTCAATTTCCTTAAAATGGGGGGAAAGAATATTGAGTAAGTGGGTGCCTCCCCCTCTCCTCACCCAGCCCCTGCGACATCAGTGCAGGTGAACTTAGGACAGACCCAGTGTACGCAGTGAGGGCATGTAGCGGGGAAAGAAACACGGGAGACATCCCTTTCTGTACCCTGAGCTTGGGCTGGGGACCAGGTTCCAGTCCTGACTCTGCCACCAGCTTTCAGGATCCTGGCTCTTTCCTTGTCCAGGGGAACGGAGCTAATGTCCTGTGAGAACCAGATGAGCTGTGGATATGTAAAACCCACATGGAGGGCTCGGGTGGTACTGAGAGAGGTGCTGGACTGAGGCACAAGCCTTGGTTCTCTCTGGTACCAGCTGTGATGCTTTGAGCAGGAAGTGTACCCTCTCTCTGCCCTTCTTTCCTCATCCATAACATGGAAATGGTAACAACACTGACATTCCAGAATTGTGGAGGGGCTGCAGTGAGGTGTTGCGTGCAAAAGAGGTGTAAAGAGGCTGCCCTGCTGGGCATGCTTGCATAGGAAACATGGACATGCCTAAAGATCTGTTCTCATAACCAGGGATGGGGAACCTTTTTCTGCCAAGGGTCATTTAGATGTTTATGACATCATTCAAGGGCCATACAGAATTATCAACTTAAAAATTAGCCTGCTATACTTGGTCAGACATTTAATTAACTCATTCCTAATGCCTTGGCAGGGCCGGATCAAATGATTTCATGGGCCTTATACGGCCCACGGGCCAGACGTTCCCCACCCCTGAATCATAACCCTTTGGTCACCTCAGGTGAACCTCTTCCACTCTTCAGGTTTTTGTTGCTCCACATCTAACCCAAGCTGTTGGACATTCTGATAGTTCCAGTGTTTTCTCATCAAGAGATTGCCCATTGATTTGCATTTATTATTCTCCAGATGGGGACAAAGGGGTGTGCAGGAGCTCAGGCACCAGCTGAACTCTGGGCCCCATACTGGGTGCCCTGTGCCCCACGCCCCTCCCCCAGCTCCCAGCCACAACCCGAGTACCGCACCTTCCAAGGTGGTTCTGCTATATAGGCTCCGTGTTTGCACAAGCTGATTCGGTTCTTGTTGCAGCTCGTATTCATCCATCTGTTGGCTGCAGGTTTACCGGCTCGGCTCGGGCACTGGAAGACATCTAAGTATAGACAGACCTTTTCCCTCCGCTTCCTGTCTGCCACACCAGCAGCCCCCTGACGGCCACCGTCCAGTTCTACAGACTTCTTCCTCTCGTGGCTGATCTAGCTTGCTGCTTGGTCTTCATCTGCAGACACTTAATTCATGTCAGAACACTCTCCCTTGTTACAAGCAAGGGAACCCCGCTCCCTGTCCCGTGGTCCTGTAAGCTAATGCCTCCAGCCTGCAACCTCCTGGCTGGTGTTTCTTCTTTCTTCTTTATGGCTTTTAACTACTTTGTTCTGTGATTGCGTTTGAGCTTATGTTTTGCGTCTGGGAAAATGTCAGGGTTAACCCTGAGGGGACAGATAATGCAGGGGAATCATCGTGTAGACAGTTGTTTACATAGGCAGGAGAGAGGCCAGGAACTCTGAGAAAGCCAAGGGAAACGTATCCAGCAGTTAAGACCCTAGTCTTACTAAGAAGACTGACTTAACTCTTATCTGAAGTGGACTAAGGAGCTTCGCTGCAGGTGAACGCTGACAAGTGGGAGGGCCGTTACACAACCACACATAACTACCCTTTAGAAACAACTGGCTTCAGACTCTGCTAACCAAAGCATTAGCGAGAAGCTCACAGTGCTTTCTGAGCCACAGAGGTGGTTCCTGGCGCACAGGGGCAGCTGGCTTACATCTCATCTCCCTTCCTTTCCAGTGAGGAAGAGGAGGCTCGCAGACTTGACTGGGCCCATCATTCCCAAGTGCCGGAGTGGAGTCTAGTGTGTGGTGGTGGTGACCACGCCTCTGAACTGGACACGTTCTACTGATGATCTGTGCTCTGCAGTGGAAGCCAGAAGGCAGAATGTCGGCACAAACCCTTTTGTGGTTCAGTTCTTTATGCACAAAGGTTTTAGGATAACTAGTGGTTACAGTTGAAATTTTATAAATTATGGTTAATGTGAAGTTTTTCTTTAGTCACAGAAGTTCAGTCTGGTTATTGTTTAAAAACTAAGAAGGCCCTGGACCGGCAGATCTCCCTGAAGATGACGTTACAGCAGCAGTGACTTAGCTGAGAGCCTGGTTTTGGTGGCCTTGCTATATGGCGTTTCAGGTGTATTGACTATGCTTAATGCACGAACAAACAGCACACTCTTCGCACGGTATAGAAGCATTATACTTTATTACAAATTTGATCTTAGCTATTTAGCCAGCAGAACAGGCTTTTTATTAACCCTCCTTTAAATAGAAGAACCTCAAGATTAAAGTTGCCAAATTGATTGATGGATCAAGAACACAATTTTTCCCCTCAAGACAGACAGAAAGACTAAAGCCACTGAACTCTGCCAGGAATCAAAGAACATGAGATTCCTTTTGCTGGATATGAGGAAATTCCAAGTTTCAAAAACCATCCTGTCTTTACCAATCCCAGGCAACAAACAGCTCCTTGAGTGTTCTTTATGGCATCTGGGGTTTATTTACATTTTAACACCGGAGTCAGAAAGAATTTTTTCCTTTATCAAATGCTAACCTTATGATGGATATGAAAACCTGTGGCCAAATACTTGAAAACACCTTTCTATATTGCACAGTGGGCTAATGGCTTACTTGAAGTCAAATGTTAGAGGGATAAATTTCCAGTCTATGCTGACAGACTTGCAACTATCTGTGGCAGCACTTACTAGACACGTCACTGCTAATCTTAAACAGTTAAGCCTCAGAAGGCCAACGGGGAAGACCCAGATAGTAAAGAATTAGGAAACCCTGGTCAAACTATCCCAAGATGATGATTCTGAAAATGTAATTTTGGTATCTCTGCTGCATCCTTTTAACATCATTGCACTTCTTGGGATCCAGCAAAAAAGTGAAGCCACAATGCCCTTGTGCCTTTTAACATACCACAGTGCCAGTCGAGCTAGTATTTCTGTTGCTTGGGAAGTTACATTCATGAGTGATAGGACAAATCTCCTGATAAAGGCCACGCCAAAGAGCTGACGAGCAGACTGCTGCAGAGCACTGAGCAGAGAGGCTTTTGACGAGAAAGGAAGTCTTGCACACTGAACTGTAACGCCGTGGACGGTGCAGGGTAACCGGAGGTGGCCCTCTGTGCAAGTGTCTACGAGGCTGCAGATGGGCCCAGCAGTGGCACCACCGGCTTCTCCTTGAAACACAATTGCAGCTGTATTCTGCATCACTGGAAACTGCAATGTAACATTAAATCTGTTGGTCTATGAATGACTGCGTATGTGTTTCTTGGGACCTGTGTGACAGGGACACGCACCCGACAAGGCCGGGAACCACGGCAGTGCTGGATGACCTCACTCAGAAGGTCTTGTATCCCAAGGCATTTGTGTAAAAACTGCCCATATGTGTCATCAAGCTAATCTGAATCTCTCAAAGAAAATACTTAAAAGCAAAGTGTGGTGGATACTAGGGAAAACAGAGACTATTAGGGGAAAATCTCTGTTAAAAACCAAATCAATAAAAAACGAAGGTGAGCCACATCTTTATGACCATCTGTTCCATCAGTCGAGCTGTTGGTTTAGACCAGAAGGTGGCAATTTTTTCTGTAAAGGACCAGATAATAAATATAGGTTTGCAGGCCATAACTTTTCTGCTGTAAATACTTAATTCTGTCTTAAATCATATGTAAAAAACAACAACAATGGGTGTGGTTATTTCAATGAAATTTTATTTACAAAAGCAAGAGGTGGGCCAAATGCTGTAGTTTACAGATCCTAGTCTAGTGCAGGCTAACAGAGATGAGGTGAGGGTTGGGGTGGATGGCAGGTGACTAACGGGATTTGTTTCAAGGAGTCTACTTCCAGGGTCACAGCTTTCACACTTTTACCATCAGGACAGACAGGTATGATGACAAGAAAAACGACTGCTACCAGCCCTGACACCTGGCACAGAAAAGGCATGACCTGGTTGCCAGGCTCAAGGCTCTACTCCTCAGCTGCTATGGGATCCCACAGCTCACCTTTTTCTGTGCTCTAGCATCTTCTGAGTCAGAATGTCTCAGGTAAGTGGTCAGCACCAACTCCCTCTTCCCTCCTCTTATGAAGTACTAGAGGCCCGGTGCACGAATTCGTGCCCCAGTGGGGTCCCTCGGCCTGGCTTGCAGGATCAGGCCAAAACCGGCTCTCCAACATCCCCTGAGGGGTCCTGGATTGCAATAGGGCACAGGCCAGCCCAAGGGACCCCACCGGTGCACAATCGGGGCTGGTGAGGGACGCAGGAGGTTGGCCAGCCAGGGAGGGACTGTGGGAGGGCTCCACGGCATGTCCAGCCCATCTCACTCAGTCCCCATTGACCAGACTCCAGCAGCAAGCTAACCTACCGGTCAGAATGTCTGCCTCCTGGTGGTCAGTGCACGTCATAGCGAGTGGTTGAGCAGACGTAGCAGATCATTAGTATATTATGCTTTGATTGGTTGAACAGCCGCCCGGACCACCAGACACTTAGCATATTAGGCTTTTATTATATAGGATAAGTGGCCAAATAGGTGACCAGTGTGCCATGGTGTCATTGGCCAGCACCCAAGTTCCCCATTTCTCTGTTGCTGCAGCCTGGCTATTTCCGAATACATGGCTGCCTCAAACCTAGCTTTGTGAAGCCTCCGGGAAATGTTGCCGGTGCCGCTCACACAAGCAGGGCCCATCCTCAGCAACATCAGGTCTTGGCTCCGGGCTCAGGGGGGGTGGCGCCCGCTGTGAAAGCTCACTGGGTATGCGTGGCCGTCGGGCTGTACAGTCACATTCCTCCTTAAAGCTGTGCTGGGCAGGGCTTGAAGCCGGCCTGCTCCCTTTGTCTTGACATGTGACACAACAGGCTGTTAGTCCTTGTCCTTGACAGGCGGGGCAGGTCAAGACGAGCTGACGGCACTGGGGAGTGGAGCAGAGTTTATACTGGTCCCATGGGGCTCCACAGTATGAACATTCTGGGGACAGAAGAACAATCTTTGTTATAAACACACACATACACACACACACATGCACTTCTCCAGTTCCTAAATATAACTCTTAGCTCATTAGAATCGAATATATCCTGTTGCATCTGGGGAAGATTTCTAAATAGTAAGTCTCCTATCTTCTAACAAAAAACACTCCTCATCCCCACTTTTTAGGGGGAGAGGTTGCTTTTGGAAATTGTCTTTCTGATTCTAGCATTCACCGATCCACTTTTCCTTTTCCCATTTAAAAACAAATACTAGTAGGAATGCTTCTCTCTTTCATTAACTATTTCAAAGCTAGCCAACCACCCTCTTGTTCAACGGTCTTTTTCCTTTAGATCACTCCCTTTTTCATTGGGAGACAACATACCTGAATGCAGATGATCCCACATCTCAACTCAGCTCTGCATCCCTCTTCCCCAGGCCTGAGGTTCTCCGGCTGTTTGTTGCTAACAGACACTTGCCACTGGGATTCCTAAAACTCATACTTATCTACTTTCTCAGTGGGTTTTTTCCTGCTGACTTCTGTTACCGTTGGTACCATTCTTCTTCAAGTCTCTTTACCTAGCTTATCTAAGTTACCTTTAGGCCTTCTCTCTTCCCTTTATATCCACCTAACTCCAAAACAGATGTGCAATAACTTTCAATAACAGACACAAATACAAGACTATCCAAAACAACTAAAGATTAAGAAGGAAAGAGAACGATCCAACTCATATCTTATTTATTATCCGAGTGGTCATGCAATCTCAGTCTCTGATCCCCACTCTAGAAAACTGCAATAGCCACTAGGGATGTCTGCCCGTGACCTTTCCTGCTCAAGACTGTGGCATCAAGAGCCCTTTTCCTAAAGGACTATTTCCATTCTTCACAGACTGCCTTCATTTGGTACCACATTTTAGTGTGGACTCAAAACTAGTCAAACCACACATTTCCTGTCACCACCGCTTCCTGTGGCCACCCCTGCCTCTGGCCTTGGCCCTAGGTTCAGCTCCCACCTTGGAATGCCCCACCCACCATGCAAAAGTGCAAGACCACATGTGTCCACAGACCATCTAAACTAGGGGAATCTTTTTCTGTGTGCCATAGATTTACTTGTCAGTCTAGTGAAGACTATGAACTCTCAGAAATATGTATTTTTAAATGCATAAAATAAACTACATACGATTACAAAAGAAACCAATTATATAGAAATACAAAATATTAAAATATTTTTTTAAATCTGGAATATAATAAGATATTAGCACATTAAATAATAAGAATTAGTAGTGGGCCTAATAGCTATTTCCATTTGGAAGCAATGATGAACAAATACGATTTTGAGATATAGGTAGCAACTGTAATCTATGAAAATACTGATTTCTACTGACGTCACAGGTACGTCTAATACTACTGATTTGTTGCTTGCATTCATAATTGATGGTAGTGTTACATTTAGTGAGAGGTTATGAAAATAAATTACTAATTCCTATCCAAATTCACAGAATTCCTGAATTCTACATATTGCCCCCAGGTGTGAAGAACCCTGATTTAGCCTATTAGTTCATCACCGAGCAGGCAGAGAGAGCAAGGGACATTACCTCCATTTTTAGGACTTGTCTAACGAGTAAATGGTGAAGCCAGGACCCCAGCATAGGCCTCCTGACTCTGCTGTGCCGCTACATCTCCAACTCTGGTGGGCAGTGGTGGTGCCACGCACGCCTTCTCCCTGTTTTATTCTTCACAGAATCAGTGCTGGCCTGCCTCCAGCATGGTTCACACAGAGAGTGTGCCTGATTGTGAGTTTAGGTTCTAGGCTTGTGCTGACCTACCTGACACTATGTCACTGTTGTAGGACAAAGCATAACGCTCATCGAAAACAAACAATTTCCCTTTGTAAAAACCGTCAGGAAACTCCTCCAGGTACTTGTGGATGCCACCCTTGAGCTGGAACACTTCCTTGCACACTCCCTGTGTGGAAAAACAGCAGGAGATTCAGGAGACAAGCAGAGGCCAGGAAGAAGCTCCACAGAGGAGTGGCACGTGGTGAGGGTGCCCAAGGTTGGCTCCTGGCTCCCACTGCAGGACACTGAGAAACTGCTGACCAAGGGCGCAAGGAAGCAACTGGCCAGATCTTGCTTACGGGAGGGGGGCTGGGGGAGGGAAGATGGGTGATGATAGCAGTCAGGGCCTTCACTCTCTAGATCCTGGAAGCTCAACTATTTTTGCCACCCCCTAAATATAGAAAGACACCTGTTGGGACATGTAATGTCACTGAATTTGCTTTTCTCAGGATCAAGCAAAAGTATTAGGCAAAGGGAAACGTTAACTAATCTTTCCCATTTGTACCTGATGAGTTTCTAAGACTGCTGAGTGTTTTTCACATCTTAAGATTTAAGAACTTCATATTTTGTACTTATAAACTCTAAGCTTGATGGCCAGGATGGGAGAGGGAATGAAGGGGGGCAGGGGGAGCTCCACACATGCTGTGGACGATGCCTTCTTCACGGCCAGGCCTGTGGTGCCCCAAGGAGGGTGACTCACCTTGGCTTTGAGGTAAGCAGAACCCCGCTCACAACGGATGCCCCCAGTGCAATACATCAGTACCCTCTTCTCTCTGAAAAGTTCTAGATTTCTGTCAACGTAGCTAGGGAAGTAACTGAATTTCCTGATGTCTGGGGCTAAGCAGCCCTGGAAGCGTCCCTACAATGTGGGACAGAAGGAAAATGATTAAAAAAAGTATACCTGGTATGCTTTTTTCTGTCCCACACACCCTCCCCTCTCCCACCCCCTTCCTTGGCAAGGAAACACCAGCTAGTTGCTGTTCTCATCCCACACTCTAAACCTTTCAACTTCAAGATCTGGAACTTAAGAGACATGGCTGGCGAGCTGTGAGTCACCTTCACAGTCTTCAGGGGAACTGGAGAGGCTGCCCAAAGTGAAGTTTACAAGATCCTTGACATGTGTCAAGGGTAGGCACCTGGGATCCAGGACGCACATTATTTGCCAATATGTCTGTAACTCATATTTTCTTAGGCTTTCTCATCAGATCCTGAGTTGAAAGGCTTGGGTTTTTCTCTGAGGCTGCTAGCAGTGGGAAGAGATCCATGTGACTTGACCTATGATGGCACACACATGTTTCTTTGGGGAACATGCCATACCGTGGGGACTCAATTCTGGTTCTTACTATTTTGCTTTCATAGAAGTTTCTGCAGTCCAGGAGGATAGTATCACTTTGTTCTTGATTTCCCTGAGACAAAAACTTTTCTACTTCTTTATGAAATTCACCTGGGGACAAATGGATTCCTAAAATCAAACCAAAAAATTAGTTGATAAACTATTTACAAGTAAGAATTGCACTCTTCCAAAACTGCTATCTTTAAAGAGAAAACGACTTCTTGCCAAACCGTCATCAAGAATAAGTAAGGTCCTTCTGAGGGGGAGTCTCCAAAAAGAAGACCAATTTAAGCATTAAATGACCCAAATGTTAGCCACCCCATAGTTATTTATGGAAGGATTCATCACAACTCTAGCTGACTGATGTGTCTAACCTTCACATCTGTCTCTCTATTGTTTTGTCCTTCTAAAAGCAAGCATACCAGGCTTCTTGTAGGAGATCTTATTGGGACTGATCCCCATAGGCACAATTTCTTCAAATACACCAACACGCAACTCTGGGAAACAGCAAGCTCCTCCTTTGCTGGTCTAGCCAATGAGAAACAAAGCAGATAATGTTGAATTTTCTGGAACAGTCTAGGCCGTAATTCCCATTTCCCATTAAAACAGGTTTTCTAATTTGAGACTTCTTAATACTACAGCTATGGTATTATTATAAAAGAATTCTTATATTTGGTACTTATTTACCGCATATCTACCATGTTCAGAAATGTTACACTGAAAAGGTGTTTCTATAGCAATAAGCATTTAAAATTGAAACACCACTGAGCAATTTCAACATGTAAGATTAGGTCCCAGCTTTTGTCCTGGAGCAATGACCTCTCTTTACCTATCACCACCAGCACTAACTACCAAGGTATTTCCCACCACCTTTACCACCTATTATGATAAAGGAACTGAGCTGTAAGAGCAACCTCGTTCCCTGTGTGAAGTGCTGATCTGATCATTCCAGGTTTACCGAAATAGCCAGGCAGTCTCTCAAATAAGCAAACACGTCTAAGTTTCAGAATTTAGATCGTTGTCAACTGTGTCAACCTTATTCTTTAGGAAGGGAGACTGAGGTCCAGAGAGGGCACTAACTTGTCCAAGACCACATGGCGACTCAGTGGAAGAAGTGGAACCAGCGCGCCCTTCCCACACACTGCCTTGCCACCTGGTAACGGGGAAGGGTAGTTGTCTGGCACTGCTTATTTCTCATACTGCCCTCTCTTCATACCTACAGCAGGAAGAGGCACCGAGGCACGGCTCTAGAGCCATTTCCTTTTCAATGTCTCTTACCTTAAAATCATCCTCACACAGATAATCCTTAAACAATGGGCAGGAAAGCATGACTTCCACATAGAGTCTGGTGGCCAATTTGCTTCCACCCACTGTCCCGTTGATTCCTTCTGTAGCAATTCGCACCTGAGACACAGATGGTGAGAGAAAGGGAATGCAGTTTAAATCTTCCCAGGGCAGAACAGGCTCAAGTGTATCAGTGAATTGAACAGGAAACGCAGACACTGCTGTGGACACCAAAGTGTTACCACAAAGATACCTGTGTTTTCTAAAATGGCACTTCCTAAGTTCAGATAAGGTACTTGGTTAATGTGTGCTGAATAAGAGCATGAAATTAATGAAACTACTGAAAAGCCCCATTTGCTATGGAGCTCCAGTTGTCCAATGGCCAGAGAACCACGTTTTGAGTTTAATCCAGGTCAGCAGATCTAGAATCAAGATTCAGTTTTGCCACTTCCTTGTAAAGTGCCCTGAGAAAATTATTTCACTTCTCTGAACCTCAGTTTCTTCATCTTGCTAAAACAGGGAAAAAAGAGAATAAACAATGAAAACCACTGCTGGAGAGATTCCCCAAGTTCTAAAGCACAGAGCACACCTGAGGACTGGGAATGGGAGTGAATGCATCTCTGCATGGTGTTTGGGGAAAGCCCACTGTTGCAAACGCACCCACTGGAATACAAAGTTGCAGGAGTGTGTGTCTGTTTTGTTCACTGTTGCATAACCAGTGCCTAGAACACCTGCCTCATAGTAGGCATTCACTATGTATCTGTTGAACAAATGAATGTGTATGCACCTCTGAGGTTTTCTGGCTTCTCAAATCTGTACTCTTTGAAGTGCTTCACTGGTTACCAGACATTAGAGCTTGGATTAAGACCCCTGCCTAAGAGGTCACTAAAGTTAGCTGTTTTGGTGCGACAAAATCCTTGGATGAGTTTAAAGATGGATCATCTTTAGAGGGTGCTGAGCTCTCTAGAGAAAAGTGCTAGAGAGAAAGTGCAACACTTATATCATGCTATTCTCTGGAGAGGTAACTTAAGGTCCTACAGTGTTACTACTACCTGTGTAACAATGGTACCTCCCAATGCATTACTTAGAATTTAAAAATTTTAAAAGGCTCCCCTTTTTCAGGACCCAGAGGTGATACTTCATTGACTGAGACACTTGATTCAATTCTTTCAGGGCATGGATATAAATGGGATTCATTTCACAAGCCCACGCCAGCTCACTAGTAGGGGCTGTGCAGAGTCCCATGATGAGCATTCTGAGTCACATCCAGTCCTTGAGAGAGTACTGGAGCCTAGTGAAGCCTTTCTCGGCGGGGAGAAGAGAGTCGGAAGTACACGCCATCTGCACAGACTATTATACCGATTACCAGCATATATATATATATATACACACACACACACTTTTTTCCCCCAATTTAACAAAATTACTTATTAATTAGGCTGTATTTCAAAATTGAGATAATTATTACTATTGTATTAATAATAGTAATACAATACTACATTTTTACTACTTGCTATTTTAATAAACTTATGAAAAGGGTAGAGATCATTAAAAATGAATGTTCATTGCTGTGTACGTCTAACAGTATTGATGGATCAATGTTTAAAGTGTAAACATTATTTATTTTTACTATGAGTAATATTAACTATCTACTCTCCCACTAAACCTGAAACTTCTCTCTAAACCATATTTGGAGAGAGTTTTTTGATTAGGTGATTCAACTTGTATATTTTTAAGGGATTACACAGAAAAAGAACTAAACCAGTATGAGTCAGGAACTCTACCTTAAAGCTGTTATTACTGTGACAGTATGATGAAGAGGTACATACTTCTACATAACTATCTTTTGGGTAGATTAGTATGTTCTTTCCTGTTATTTTAAATCTCAGAACCCAAATAAAAACAAGCACATCTACTCCCTATACAGTTGGGGCAGAAAAGTCTCTAAACTCATCCGCTAGACTTTCAATCACTAGGATTCTTTAACAGAAACTTTCAAAGTAGCTCCTTGGTGAGAAAGGCCTTAAACCTCAGAGATAAAGAGCAACAGTTAGCATTTACTGAGTACCTACTATGGGACAGGAGCTTTATAATAAATTCCTGAAAGGCAGATGTCATAATCCCCACTCAACAGAGAAGGAAACAGAAGCTCAGAAAAATAATTTGTCCAAGAGCACAGGTTGGTAGGTGTAGATCTGGGATTCAAAACCAGAAAGAGGTAAATGAAGCTTTCAGTCCACTATCTGTTAGAAAACATGGATGTGGAAAATGTCACTGACTGATCAAATGATTGCCAAAGGGAATTAAAACCTGGGACATATGTGGGAAAGATTGGCCAGATCTTATTGGCTCTAAATCTCGTAATTTTTCCTTTCCCAAGTCTCCAATGCACTCCCTTATGTATCTTTCGGGAATAATGAATGTATAGCAATAGGGACAAGCTTCCTTCCATAATTCCAGAATTTTCAAGTTCTCTTTCCTACCTAAATGCCAATATTCTGACAAGTCTCCTACCAGCAGAAAACTATCTCAGTAAACTGGACATCATGTATCATGGAAACCATAGAATTTAGACCGACAATCTAGGCAGGTACTGCCACCTTGTGGTTACGGACCCTCACTGCTAGTTCTTCTCAGGCTGGGCCAAGAATAAAAATCTGCCCCTAAACCAAGGAAAGAGATTGATTTCATATTTTGTACATGCAGTGTTACTGTGAGACTACCCATCTTTTTAAGATGATCTCTAAACAGAGATGGTGACAAATGTATTCAGTACATAAATGTTTACTAAGTTTTTTACTATGCACAAGGAACTGTACTAAGAATTAGGGATAGAGTGGTTGGAAAAAAATACAGTTCTTGCGCTCTTGGAGCTTACAGACTAAGGGAGGTCACAGATATTAAGATAAAAGTTACAAATTGACAAGCGCTATAAAAATAACTGCAAGATGCTATAAGAAATTTTAAAAAAAGATGCTATAAGAGAGTATATTTGGAAAAATGAAATTGATTGAAGGTCAAGAAAGATCTCTTTGAGAAGTAAAGATTGAGGGGGAAATTACACAGAAGAAACCGAGTATGGGAGAGTTCCTTAAAGACTTTTCTTATAAAAAGGCCCCAAAACACAAAAAGATTTTGTGGGCTCCAAGAAACTGAAAGAATAGTATCAGATAAGCTGAAAGAAGGTAAGAAGGGTCCAAATCATGCAGAAACCTAAGGGCATGTTAACAATTTGGGTTTTACACTAAAGGTACTGGATAGCCACTGAAAGATTTTGAGGAGGCTAATATGATTTTATTTACCTTTGAAGGTCATTCTGGCTGCTGTGTAAGACTAGCTTAAACGACAGGCAGGGATAGAAGAATGGAGAATAGTTTGCAAGCTATTGAAATGGACCAGGTAAGAGAGGGTGGAGCTTGGTCTAAAGTGATGGAAGTGGAGGACAGAGTGAACGGAGGCAAGGGACATTTTAGAGGTAGAAACGGCAGGACTGGGTGATGAACTGAATGAGGTCAATGAAGCTTTCAGTCCACTATCTGTTAGAAAACATGGACGTGGAAAATGTCACTGACTGATCAAATGATTGCCAAAGGGAATTAAAACCTGGGACATGTGTGGAAAAGATTAGACAGATAGTACAGCGTCATAACCACAGGGGATCCCAGAGGGAACTTAATCCACTTACTTTTTATTTAAATTTTTTAAAAATATATATAATATACATATACATGTATAGATATGTCATCATCAAGGATATTGTTAAAAAGGAAAATCCACCCATAATCCTCTGGTAGAGAGTCATAATCAACACTTTGATGTCTACTACTCTCCATCTTTATACACACAAACACTTGTGGTTTTGTTACACACATTCAATCCTTTACTCAACATTCTCTGAACATACACTGTCTGCTATGTGCTAAGCCCTGTGCACTGACAATACATCAATTAAGACAAAGTTCCTGTCTTCATGAAGTTTACATTCTATAAGGGACAGATATAACAAATTAAACAAGGACTATTCTTTCATACAGTAGTAAATTCTTTGACTAGAAGGGATAGAAAGTGATGAGGCTTACAAAAAGGACCTCTTCAGATTAGAGTTCTGAGGAGATAACATCTGAGCAGAGATTTGAAGTGAGGAGTGAGCCATGTGAAGATCTAGGGAAAAAGCATTCTAGAGGGAAAGAAAATAGCAAATTGTCAGTACCATGAAATGGTAAAGGCCCTGGCATGTTCTAGGAAAATTAAGAAGAAACTTAGAATCACACCTCTATGCATAGTTCTATAAAATGTTTTTCTAGGTATTATATCAAGAACATCCCCTATGCCAAGGAGAACTATGCCTGCTTTTGCATGTAGTGTTGAAAGAACATAGGCATACCCATCCGTTTACCTATTTATCTAGAGTTGTTTTCATGTTACAATGGCAGGGTTGAGTAGTTTCTTTTTGCAAATCCCAAAATATCAACTATTTGTCTCTTTAAGAAACAGTTTGCTGACCCCTGGTCTATGCCATTCTATATTCTTATAAAACACCATGTTAATAGCTACTTAGTATTCTACTTAAATGCCTCACAGGACTTTGCTAATTTCTAACAACTCAACAGCAAATCTTTTTGTAAACAGCACAGCCTGGGCCCAAGCTGGTTTGGCTCAGTGGATAGAGCGACGGCCTGCGAACTGAAAGGTCCCAGGTTCGATTCGGTCAAGGGCACATGCCTGGGTTGTGGGCTCAATCCCCAGTGGGGGACTTGCAGGAGGCAGCGGATCCATGATTCTCTCTCATCATGGATGTTTCTATCTCTCGCTCCCTCTTCCTTCCTCTCTGAAATAAAATAATAATAATAATAAAAAATAAATAAATGAGGCCCTAGATGGTCTGGCTCAATGGATAGAGCATCAGCCTGCAGACTGAAGGAAAAAAAAAAAAAGAGCACAGCCTGGCCCTAGCTGGTTTGGCTCAGTGGCTAGAGCATCGGCCTGTGGACTAAAAGATCCTGGGTTCAATTTTGGTCAAGGGCACATGCTTGGGTTGCGGGCTCGACCCGCAGTAGGAGATGTGCAGGAGGCAGCCAATCAAGGATTCTCTCATCACTGATGTTTCTAGCTCTCTCTCTCTCTCTCTCTCTCTCTTCCTCTCTGAAGTCAATAAAAAAATAAAAATAAAGAGCACAGCTTCTGCAATCCAAGTTGGAGGCCAGAGCAGCCTAGTGAAGGATGGATATGGAAGAAGGTGTTACCTTGCCTGTGAGGTGCAGGTGCTGACACAGAGCTGTCTGCCAGGCACAGATCCAATGGGGATCCTCCAAGTCACGATAGCAGTAATAAAGTAACACCTCTCCTTCATCACTGCCCTCACCACTGTAAAAAGAAAACCACAGAGAAGGGGCATCTGAATCACTGGCCTAAGTTCATAAAGTATAACCAGGCAGCATCGCAGGGAAAGCCTAGGTGGAGCAATTCACGCCTGCCTTTGCACCCACTATTGTTCTCCTAAAATGAGAAGCAACTCCTGTCTGTCTGTATTTGCTCTAAAGAAGACCATATCTGTACTTTATAGCTAAGTAAACTGAAGTCAATTCCTTCCAGGTGAGACAACTACAAGTGACAATCAGGACTCAAAACACCAGATTTCTGACACTAGAACCCATACCCTTTCTATTGCACTGTGCTGTCTTATACTAACTTGTGGGATCTGGGCAGGTCACTTATCATTTCTGAGCCTTGATTTCCTCATCTGTAAAACTGGAGAAATGAAATAAGTGGCATTTCCCAAAAGTGTGCTTTGAGAAATCCTGTAATAAAGAACATTTTAAACTAGTGCTTCCCCAACGTATTTGTCTTTAGTACCTCTTTTCAATACCTGATAGCATCCTCCACAATAATGTTGCACAGATGTATTTTAGAGAATGCTATAGTGGATGATAATTAAGGTCCCGTCCAGCTCTGGAATCTAAATCTCTCTTCAGTACCCTCATCATATTTCAGCTTCCTCCAAAGCCTTTTCTCTAGTTCAGAGCCTATCTATTTTCCTTTCTCTAAACTCCTGTAACAAATTATCTGAACCATACAGGTACAATTTAACTAATAATTATATAGCCTGTCTCATATCATCTGCTAATTGTTTCATGCCCTTTTCTTTGTTTTTCTAACTAGAAAGCAAATTCCTTGAAGTGCAGGGCCATATCTAAATGAGAAAGCCACATTTATATAGCACTTTAGAGTTCACAAGTGCTTGTACCACCATCATTTTATAGAGCCCATACAGCAATACTGTATGGTGCAGGGCAGACATTATTCCAATTTTAAAAGTGAGGAAATGAAGGCACAACAAATTTTAGCAACTTGCTCAAGTCTGACTCCAAATTCAATTCTCTTCCTTTCTCCTTTTCTTTCTGATAAACAAGGTGAATTTGGCACTAAATACCAGTGATAAAATAATATCAGATTTGAACATTTTCTATTCACCAAATTCAGGAATTGCTTAAAACCAGAAATCTGTCCTCTAGAATTCTGTAGTATTAATTTGGTAAGTTTTTCAAAGGTAGAGTCTAAACCTCTTAATCCTATGCCTCAGTTCTAAAAGTTAACATCCTTTCTAAAGCATATTCAGCTCAGAAAGCCACATTTGGTAACAAAAAACCTTTTTAAGCTCTGATATTATTCAGGGAAGAGGAATCATTAACGTTTTGGGGCCTTCCTATTCTCTTTGAAAATAATGTAATTTTCTGTTCTTTACTTCTCCCTAGAGATAAGATGCAGAATGGCTTTCAAGAAACCTGGCAACAATACCAGCTGTGTGGGTACATGCTACTGCATTGACTATAATCTTCTATTACACACAGTGCATGTTTGTCACCCTTGCTTAGGCCTGTAGAGAAATTCTGTGCCTTTAAGATCTTGCCATTTTAATGGTATCTCACTGTGACTGAAAAAATATTTTTTAAATTAAACCAAAAGTACAGAATGAAATTCTTACCTTATCAGCTCTTCAGGGCTAAAGCAACTAATGTCAGGGAGCCAAGCAGACACGTCATGGTTTCGAGTAAGGCACTCTTTCGGTGGGTTCCTTTTGTCGGCAGACGTAAGGCTCTTTGAGGTGCTCGATGCCACAGCGAGCTGCTTCAAAACAGAAGCAGTCTGATGCCAAACTTCATCAGCGTGCTGTGCCGCCACGTGTCTGTGGATGCCAGTGGGGCCCGTGAACAGCTGCTGACAGCATTTCCACCATATTTCTTTGCATTTATAAGACGGTGCTGGAACTTCTTTGGTTTTGACAAAAAGGGCAAATGCCTGCAATTACATTTCAAATTGTCACTGTGAAATAACCTTAGGTTTGAGGCTAATGGAAGCCTCAGTGAAATTTCTTCTATTATCTTTTCACAGGGGTTTCCAGTTTGTATCCTACTATTTGGTAGAAGAACGTGGAAGAGTAACAGTTTTATTAGTAAGCTTTACATCAGCTGGATCAGATCAGGAGTTTCAGATAGCAGCTGCCCTACTGCTTTTTCTATTCTCCCTATGACTTGGTCTCCTGGGTTTTCTCCCATAACCCTGGGTGGAGAAAAGAATCCAGCCCATCTGTCTAGGACCTATACCCCACCACACGTGTTCCAGAGCCACACCTTGCCTATGATTCTCCTTTGCCTGGCACTGAATTAAGATCACTGGTAATGGTGCTGACCAGACCTTACTTTGAGCATGGCAACAGCCTACTGTCTCACTATCCCTCCACTCCCTGGAGGACAACCTTCATGAGCTACTTCTATATCTACCTGCATTAACAATACACACATGATCCTGAAACATCAACAGCGATTTTAGCAATTTTACCTTTTTCTTTGCAAATGAATATTTCTTCTTTGTATTGACATCTAGCTCTGCTTTAAGACTGCTACTGGGATTGATAATACTTGTGTCTTTCAAATCCAAGTCTGAAAATCTTAAAAGACAGGCCTCCAGGTCATCTCCTTGGTCTGCTGAAGTCGAAGAAGGCATCTGGTTTGGTTGAAGCAGTGGGGCAGATTCCTTTCAGTTAACTATCTCCTAGGAAGTGAGCAAGGGAGAAACAACATTGTCCAAGTCTTTGATTCCTACTTGAAGTAAACTTGTAGTTAATCAATCATGCAAATGAGCATGGGCCTCGTAGCCCAAGCTATCCATTCATTCACTCATTCATTCAATAAACAGTATTTATTTAGCAGGCATTGTTCTAGATACTGGGAACATAGCAGTGAATGCAAAAGAAAAAGTCTCTACTTTCTTAGAGTTTGCATTCCAATGGGGAGAGACAGAAGGTAAGCAAATAATTTTATTTTTTTAAAAGTCAGATGGTAAAAAAGGCTATGAAGACAAATAAACAGAGTAAGGAGCCAGGGTTATGGAGGGGATGTTTAAAATACAGAGGGTAAGTAAAGTCTGAGGCAGTAGCATTTGAGCAAAAACCTGAATTAAAGGGCAAGCCATGCAAACTTACGGTAAGTTGATGCCAAAAAAGCACCGGTACAACCAAGCTGTGTGCTAATAACTTCAGTTATAAACACTTCGTTCTTTTCTTGTCCCCTGTATGTTTAAGCTATGCAAATTCCCTTTCTTAGAAGAAATAATTACCCAGGGAAACCTATTTTAGTGAGCCAGAAGAAATATACAAATTGCTACTGTGGCCTAATCTTGTCAAAACGGACACACTACAACCAACATACTGCATTCTTTCTTTTATAAAGCAAATGTTACAGGTAACAAAGAGGCAACATGAAACACTGGGAAAGACATTACCTTTGGATCATGGTGTAGCAGAGTGCAAGTATGTGAACCTGGGAAGATATTAAACTTCCCTGAGTTCTAATTCCCTAATTTCTAAAATGTGATGACAGCATCTACCTTGCAGGGATGTACTGAGGACTGGAAAGGAATATGTAATCCTTAATTCCCCTACCAATCTAGGCTCATTTCAGACAACACTCTCCCTCAGATAACCTGCTCTGGCTACAATGGGCTTTGCCTAGTTCCACAAATACTCATGCCCTTCCCTGCCTTACAGTCTCCACACATACCTTACCCACTGTCCCAAAATGACCTCCCCTCACTCTAAATCCTTTTCAGCTTTCGCCTTTAGATATTCTTACCTATTCTATGCCTGGCACATAGAATAGCGTTGCGGATGCCGGTCTTAATGAAAACAGTTACTATCCCTGCTCTTTTGAAGCTTATATTCTAGTAAGAGAAGAGAGACACTAAATAAGTAAATACATTTAAAAACATGAAACTGTCAGTGATAAGAGCTGCTGCTTCTCAATTTCATTTGCTGGGGTTTCTCCCTACCCTCCATCCTGAACTTTATCTACACTTGCCCTCTAGATGATCTCATCTAGGCCCAAGAATTTAAAGACTAAATTTCCTGAGAATAACTGTGATAATACATGTGAAACTAGATTGGTCATTGTCATTAGTTGGGAATTGCTGAAGCTGATTGTTAAAATACATGGGGGTTCTTAATTTTCTCAAATATTGTGTAAATATTTGAAAAAGGTAAACAATCATAAATAAAGGGAAATTTATGTTTAGAATACTATACAATAACTGACTCCAAATTTATATCTCCAGGCTGGGCCTCTCTCCTGAACTCCAAGTCCACACATCCAACTGTCTCCTGGATAGCTTCGGCGGGAAGGCTAACAGGCTGTTCAAAACCAAACGCTTGTTTCCCCCCAGTCTTCCTTGCTTTCTGTTATTCAGAGAAAAAATCTTTGGGCTTCTTCTTGACTCCTTATTCTTTCACATTATCTCGCAGCCCCTCCGAAAATCCTCCCAACTTTGTTTCTGAAATACAATCAGATCAGATCACTTTACACCACTTTCACTACCAACCCCATTCAAGCCACCGTCATTTCTTGAGTGAATTATTGAAGGAGACTAAATGGACTCCTCGTGTAAGAGCCAGAAAGGCGAGTATTAAAAAACTAGTCAGACCAGTCTCCAAAGGCTTCTCAACTTGCTCAGATAAACTCCAAAGTCCTTGCAACGCCCTTCCCACCACGTCTCTCCTCTCCTTTGACTACTGTCCGCTGGCTCGCTGCTGCCTCTGACTGCATTGTCTGTCCATTCCCGGGTGGTCACCAACACCAAGAAAGCAGGGGTTTTCCTTTGTTCACCTCTGCATCCTCAGCCTCTGGAACACTGCCTGGCACACAGGAGGCGCTGAATGCCAGCAAATACAATACGCGAAATAAAAGTGACTGGGTAGCCAGAGAAGGCTTCACCAAGGACCTGATGCTTGCGCTGAAACCTAAAGTGACAAGCAGCCATCCATGCAGAGTTAGCAGCAGGGATCTGCAGGCAAAGGAAAGAGTGAGAATCATTTCCTAAAGTCGGAACAAGCTTGGCTTATGGGAGGTACGGGAAGAAAGTCCGAGTGGCTGGAGCACAGAGATGAGAGAGCAAGTAACGATATGGAGTTTGCAGAGGCAAGTCACAGGCGAGCTGCAAACAAGGGAGTGAGGCGGCCTGAGTCTAGATTTGTTTTTAAAGTAGAGCCGATAGGGTCTACAGGTTCATTGTTATGTAGGAAGTGAAGGAAAAGGAGGACCCAGGAACGACTCCTACCAACGTTTTTGGATTAAGGAATCGGATGAATGGTGCCACTTATCAAGATGGCGCGCCGGGCAAGGGCCCATCTCTCCGTCCGGCTTTCCCGAGGAGGCAAAGGCCCGGAAGTGGCAGTTCTGTGGGCACGTACCTGCCTGTCCTGATCCTTTCTCAGGTCTTTCTTCATTGAACAGTCTCCGCCTAAAATTTAACACAGCTCACCGCCCAGGCTCCCGCACGCCCCGCCCGGAGTTTACGTAGGAAGGACCGCCGGCGACGTCCACCCGCACCGGAAGTCTTTGGGACTTTGAGCGGAAGGGACGCCGGGAAACCAGAGAGCCCGCCCCCGCGCCGAGAGAGGGTCTGAAATTGAGGCGGGGGTTACAGCGTCCCTCCCTGACCGCCCGCCTCCTAGCGTGGCTCGCAGCCCCGGGCTGTGGCTGGCTGAAGAGGTGTTGCTATCTCCTGGCCCCGGAAGCACTTAGAGCGAATGGCGGGAGAGGGGAGCCGCTAGAGGAAGCGCGAGGGGACGGTTGCGTGCGGACCTGAAGCCCGCGGCCTGGGGAGCCCCTAGACACCGCCGCGTCCAGCCAGCAGCCCCGCCTTGCGCTTCCGGGAGCCCGAGCGAGCGAGTGCGCCTGCGCGCCGGGTCCTCCGCGCGCCTCGCCGCTGTCCTCGCGCCGGCCGGCGTTCCGACGGTTCCTTCGGTGCTTCCCGCCCGCCTGCTCGGCTCGGCAGCGCGGGGACGTGCAGCATGTCGCGGCGGCGGCACCGGGACGAGAACGACGGTGAGTACCGTGGGGCCGGCCGCCGAGGCCGCTCCCAGGTGGGGGCCGAGGTTTGGCTTCCTTGGTCTTTGGGTCTCGAGGGAAGGGGACGGGAAGCCTTCCCACGGAGCGAAGGAGGGTAGCACACGGGAGTGTGTGGCCTGGCGACTTCTGAAAAGCTCCTGCTCCCCCCCCCCCCTCCGCCCCGCCCCAGCGCCTTTAGTCGTTGGCTGGTAGGAGGCCTTGGGGGGCCCCACGTCTCTAACGACTTTTCTGGTTTTGGTCCTTAGCACCACGGAGCAGGGAGGTAAGCACACCTGTGTCTGTGGTGCCGCCTCTTAGGGACGGTGACGGCGACCCTCTAGTCCAGTGGTTCTCAACCTTCTGGCCCTTTAAATGCAGTTCCTCATGTTGTGACCCAACCATAAAATTATTTTCATTGCTACTTCATAACTGTAATGTTGCTACTGGTATGAGCCGTAATGTAAATATCTGATATGCAGGATGGTCTTAGGCGACCCCTGTGAAAGGGTTGGTCGACTGCCAAAGGGGTCGCGACCCACAGGTTGAGAACCGCTGCCTAGTCCCAGTCCTCGTTTTGGCCCTCAAGCTGCACCTGAAAAGGACTCTGGGCAGATTACTAAGGGAAAGGAACAAAGCAGTGACTGAAAGGTCTGATGGATCTATCCTATGGGATCTTCCTCCCCTACCGATCATTGTGGATTTGCCTTCTTTTCAGCTGCAGGGAAAGAGATCTCTATCCACACCCAAGAAGTCGCTCATGCACACATGCGTGTGGTTCAGTTAGATTTTCAAAGGCTGTAATTGTGTTTCCCTGGTGTAAGGACGGCTGGCAAACTACCTGAGGGTTCTTAGAGATTCAGGTCCGGGTTGTCGTCTCCACTTGGATGGTTGTGCTCATGGAGACCATGATGCATCATAAACACCAACAATAATTGTGTTAAAAACAGAAAAAAGGATGCTTACATTACATAATCAGTCAAGAGCACACATACAAAGAAAACCTAGTTCTATTAATATTTTAATATTCCTTGAAAAGAATGTAGTGTAGTGGTTAAGTGGGCAGACTTTGAAGTCGAGGGTTTAAGATTAAAGCTAGACTCTACCATTTAACTTTGTGATCTTGCCCAGGTTATATCACCTTTTTAAACCTTAGTCTGTACTATAGAAGATGATACATACCTCTTACTGGTCTGTAATGGTTAAATGAAATAATACAGTGATGAGTGGCATGTGATGTCTATTTTATCACCTGTCAATGCTTAAGAAGTGATAAACATTGGCAGATGTCAATGATGTAAGAAAAAAAATAATAAAATTTTTTAATTGAATTAATTTTCTCTACTAACATATTTCTCTCCTTGAATGTTGGTGCAGTTGGGAGTAGGTAAACCTAAATCACATGTATTTGGTTTTAACAAGGAAACAACAGATTTCAGCTGGCGCATGACTCAAGCGTTCCTTCTCCCCTGACACCCCGGGATGTAGAGTTTTCGTGTAATGAACATGGAGCCACAGCTGGCAGTGCTTAGATGCCAGTGGGAGCAAGTCCAGGTGCTCTTCACTACACAGTGTGCTCATACTTATTTTTTTTTAACATGGGCTTTTTGTATAAGGTGCATTTGGGGCACAGAAAATACAGTTTTCATATGCTTTGAATTTGATCAAAAACTAATATGCTTGAAGTCATTACTTGGGGTTTAGAGAACTTGAGCCTTTTAAAGTTATTTCATTCTCTTTGCTTTTCTTATACTTCTTTTCTCCATTCCTTCTTCTCCCTTCTAGGGTAAACCTATTGGGAGAGAAAATGTTTCCAGAGGGCAATTTGGAGAATTGGATTTGAATACGTAAAAACGCAACTTTTGCTTTGGTTATTGGGATGCTGGCATAATTTTCTTGAGAGTTAGTTCTTTTAATACCAGCTGGCAACTAAATCATTGTCCATTCTGGTCTTGTTGCAAGAACCTCAGAAGTAAATTACGGAGTTACTTAATCAGAGTTTACTATGGCAAATCATTTAGTACTGGAGGGGCAGTTTATAGTCTTGGTTACTACACCAAATCTGGAACTTTTGTAAATTGCCACAATTTGTGTAATGATTAGCTAGGGCTTACCTTAACCAGTCATCCGAATCAAGTGTTTTATATACTTTTGTTTTAGTTGAGCATCTAGTAATTTTTTAAAAATTAAAAATATTAGAAGCTTAAATATTATAGGCTATGTTATAATCATAAGCTGAGTTATTGTGTAATAGATACATCAGAGCATTTCTGGATTATTGTCAGCTCTTAATCCGGTACTGATTGCCATGACTTTCCATATACTTGATGAGATAAAATCATTTATTCTACAAATATTCAACAGTGCCAAGCATTGTCCTAACTACAGTACTGGCAATACAGCAGTGAACAATGTAAAGATAAAAAACAAATCAAGTAAAATATAGTGTATCATATGACAATAAGTCACATGGGGAAAAATAAAACTAAGTAAAAAGGGCAGAGACTGCTGTGGGGGAGGAGTTGCTGTGTTTTCTAAAGGTTGCTCAGGGAAAGCCTTTCTAAGAATGGCATCTTGCCCTAGCTGGTTTGGTTCAGTGGATAGAGCGTCGCCCTGTGGACTGAAGGGTCCCAGGTTCAATTCCAATCAAGGGCACATGCCCAGGTTGCTGGCTTGTTCCCCAATTGAGGGTGTGCAGGAGGCAGCTGATCAATGATTCTCTCATCATTGATGTTCTGTCTCTCTCCCTCTTCTTTCCTCTCTGAAATCAATAAAAATATATTATTAAAAAAACTTTAGAATGGCATCCTTAGAAGGTAAGGGAGCAAACTAGATGGCTCTGTGGGGGACAACAAATGCAAAGGCCTTAAGGCTAGAACATTCCTGTCTTATTCACAAAACAGCTAGAAGGCCAGTGTAGCTCCTGGAGAGTGAGTGAGGGAGAGAGTTATAGGAGGTAAGATCAGAGAAGTAGCAGAGGATCAGCTCATAGAAGTTGATTTTAAAATTGTATCTCTGTGTGGAGACTGAAGTATCCAGGATCCAGGGAAACAGGAAACTATACCAACGAAGTTCACCTGTAGGTCAATTTATAAACAAGGAAAGAGAAGTCCAAGTGAAAACGTGTATGGATACTGGTCCAGTGCTAAATCTAACTTATTTATTATCTCTTTAAGAGTATTTCTGAAGCTTTTCAGTTATTATAGGATATGCATAGGATAATAACTGTTCAGTACATTGTTTTCTTTTAAGAAAGTATTTAGGTTGTCCGTAATATTAGCCAAAACCCCACATTAGCCCCATTTAAGCTACTTAGAATTAGATCCTTATTCTTTAGACTAATTGTTTTTTTACTTAACTATCCTATCTAATAAAAGAGAAACATGGTAATTAGCGTATGACCGCTACCCTTCCCATTGGCTAATCAGGGCAATATGCAAATTAACTGCCAGCCAAGATGGCGGCTGGCAGCCAGGCAGCTTAAAGTGAACATGAGGCTTGCTTGCTTCAGTGACGGAGGACTCCAAAGTTCCCCGCCTGCCGCTGCCAGCCTCTGAGCTGCAACTCTAAGCAACTATGTTACAAATATATAAGCTAAACAAAACCCCAGAAACCTGCTTTAGTCGCCGGGCTTCAGCCAGCAGGATCGCAACATTGTTTCAAATACAGAAGGTAAACAAAGGACAGAAACCTGCTTTCAGCAGGGGAGGCCTAAGAGCTGGAGCCAAGCCTCAGAGCTAAAGCTGGCCCAGAATTTTAAAAAAAAGAAAAAAAGGAGCGGTTGGGAGCTTCAGTCACCCGCCAGCCTGAAAACAGCCCTCAGCCCCTCACCCTGACTGGCCAGGCACCCCAGTGAGGACCCCCACCCTGAAGGGTGTGTGACCAGCTGCAAACAGCCATCAGCCCCTCACCTAGGCTGGCCAGGCACCCCAGTGGGGACTCCCATCCTGATCCGGGACACCCTTCAGGGCAAACCAGCCAGCCCCCACCCGTGCACCAAGCCTCTATCCTATATAGTAAAAGGGTAATATGCCTCCCAGCACTGGGATCAGCGTGACAGGGGGCAGCGCCTAAACCCCCTGATCGCCCTGCGGCTCTGTGTGTGACAGTGGGCGGGGCCACAACCTCCCTATCGGCCCTGCTCTGTTTGTGACAGGGGAAGGCGCCCCAACCCCCTGATCAGCCCTTCTCTGTGCCTGATAGGGGGGAGCTCCCCAACCCCCTGATTGCCCTGCGGCTCTGTGTGTGACAGGGTCCGGTGCCCCAACCCCCTGATTGGCCCTGCTCTGTGTGTGACTGGGTGGGGCGCCCCAACCCCCTGATCGGCCCTGCTCTGTGTGTGACGGGGTAGAGCCATAACCTCCACATCGGCCCTGCCCTGAGTGTGACAGTGGTGGTGCCCCAACCCCCTGATCGGCCCTGCTCTGTGGGTGATAGAGGGCGACGCCCCAACCGCCCCCCATGGGCCCTGCTCTGTGTGTGACGGGGTAGAGCCATAACCTCCCCATCGGCCCTGCCCT